GCCATAAATTTGCTCCCCCTGGGGTTGTGAGCTGCGTCCCCACCCCAGCATTGCATCCATGGAGAGAAATCCAGTCCTCGGGCGCTGCTGCTCTGCTGGGTCCAATGTGGGTGAGCCTCCCCAAAATGAGTGGCCCCCAGAAATGGGCTGGTGGCCGCAGGCATGCAGGGACCCCAAGTGGGGCTGAAGATGGAAAGCTGTGGGGGGGTCCCGCATGCATGCACACACCTTGTCCCCAAACCCACTGCACCCATTTCATGCACACGGAAACGCACGCACACAGCACGACCCTGGCAAACTCACACCCACGTCTTGCACATCTCTGTGCACGCGTGGATGCAGACACAGCTCCGTGCACAAACAGAGCCCCGTGGGCACACGCATCCCATGCACTCACCAATGCAGATGCAGCCCCGTGCACACACACACCGAGCCCTTCACACACAGGCACGCAGCCGTGCAAACACACATCCCTGCACCAGCATCCCCCTGAGCACACAGCCCCACGCACACATCCATGCACGGCGCACAGCCTTGCACGCATGCAGCTCTGCACACACACATGCATGCACGGACCCGAGCGCACCCTGTGTGCACGCACACGGAGCTCTGCACACCCATCCTCATGCACTGACATGAGTCCACACACCCATGCACACCCACCAACACCCACAGAGCTCTGCAAGCCCGTGCACCCCCACGCACACCAGCACCTCCTTGCACACGCACTCACCCCCCTCCCTGCACCCCCTCTTTCCCACTCCCTCCCTCACCCCCCCCCTCCCCCCCCGCCCGCCCCCGCCCCTGCCGTGCCCGGTGCCGTCGGGCGGAGCGGAGCTGCGGGCGCGGTGCGGTGCGGTGCGGGCGGCGGACTCGGCACGTGGCTCCCGCAGCCGCGGGCGGCAGGTTGGCACCGGCGGGCACCGAGGGGTCCCGGGGGGGGCTGGAGGGGGGGGCACGAGGCCCGGTGGGACGGCCCCGACAGCGTCGCGCAGCCGCCCCAGGAGCCGCCGCAGGCGCGCACAGGGAGAGCGGGGACGCCCCCGGGGGCCGCTGCCGGTACGGGGGTGCCGCTCTCGGGGAACTTGGCGAGAAGTTCCGTCCCGGCTCCATCCCGGCTCCGGTTACATCACCAGCTCCGGCACCGGCTCCGGTCCTGTCTGCTCCATTGGCTCCACCAACGGCTCCGGTCCTGGTTGCAGCGGGAGCCCCGACTCCGCTCCCGGCTCGGGTCCCGACTCCACTCCCGGCTCCGCCACCGGCTCTGCGCTCTTCTCCTCTGCCAGCTCCAGTCCCGGCTCCGCCTGCAGCTCCGCTCCCGGCTCCGGACCCAGCAACAATTCCAACCCCTTTGCTCCGTGCCCGGCCCCGCTCCCGGCCCCATTGCTCCCGGCCCCGGTGCTGTCCCCATCCGTTCGTCTCTATTCCTTCTCTCATCCCTGTCCCATCCCCATCCCTCTCCTCAACCCCCGCTCCTGGTCCCATCGGTCCCAGCTCTTTCCCTGTCCCCATCCCCGTCCTTGCTGCTGGCTCCAGTGCCAGCCTTACTCCCGTCCTTATCTATATTCCCGTCTCTACCCCTGCCCCTGCTGCTGTCCCCAGCCCCGACCCCATCCCCATCCCTGCTGCCATCTCCAGCCCCGCTGCTCTCCTCATCCCCGTCCCCACCACCACCTCCATCCCCATTCCCGTCCGTATCCTTTCTGCTGTCACCATCCCCACCACTATTTCCAACCCCATCCTCACCTCCCTCACCGTCCCCATCCCCGCCGCTCTCCCCATCCCCGACCTCATCCCTGCTTCCTTCCCCATCCTCATCCCCGTTCCCACCTCCCTCCCTGCTACCAGCTCCGTCCCCACCGCTGTCCTCATCCCGCCCCATCCTCGCTCCCAGCCCGCTCCCTGCCGCGCCGTGAGGCTCAGCGGGCGGCCCCCCGCCGTCCACCCCCCCGGCTCCACCATCGCTCCCAAGGGTGACGAGGACCTTCTGGCACTGGCTGCCTCTCGGCTGAGCCGCAGGAAACGCGTGGCCGGGGCGGCCGTCGGCGTGGCCATGGTGCTGGTGCTGCTGGTGGCCATCCCGCTGCTGGTGCACAGCTCCAAGGCGGCCGCTCACTACGAGATGCTGGGCAGCTGCCGCATGGTTTGCGATCCCTACCCCGAGCTGCCTCCTGCCTCCCCCCCTCCTTTCCTACCGGGGGCAAAGGGAGAACCGGGGCGCAAAGGGCGTGCTGGCGTTCGGGGCCCCCCCGGACCACCGGGACCGCGGGGACCGCCAGGTGAACCGGGTCGACCGGGACCACCGGGACCTCCAGGGCCGGGTCCTGGGGGGTACATCCCCTCCTTCTACAGCCCCAAGATTGCGTTCTACGCGGGCCTGCGGAAGCCCCACGAGGGCTACGAGGTGCTGCGCTTTGACGACGTGGTGACCAACGTGGGCAACTACTACGAACCATCGAGTGGCAAATTCACCTGCCCGCTCCCCGGCATCTACTTCTTCACCTACCACGTCCTCATGCGCGGCGGCGACGGCACCAGCATGTGGGCTGACCTCATGAAGAACGGGCAGGTATGGCACGGGACCCCCAGCAGCTCCCACCAGGCCCCCGTGTTCCTCTTCACCCCCTTTGCCCTTAGATCCCCCAGCCCCATCTCTCTGTGTCTCCACCCGGCTCCTCCAGCCCTCTTCCTGCTGCCTGCTGTCCCTAACCCTGCTCTCCAGTTCCAGTTCCCCCAGTTTGGTTTTTCCATTTTGTTTCCTCCCATCTTGCTTCTCCAATTCTGCTTTACCCTCATCCTGGCTCCCCCCAGCTTTCTGTCCCAAATTCCTGCCATCCCAGTTCATATATTTTTTCCACCATCCAAGTCCTCCATCCTGATTCCCAAACCCATTCCCTCTTCCCCATCGCCCTACACTCATCCCCACTCATCTCATTTCCCCAATCCCCACTCCTTCATCCCCATTCCCCTACACCCATCTTCATCCTATTTCCCCAATCCCATTCCCTTCATCCCTATTCCTCCGTCCCCATTCCCCTACACCCATCTCCATCTTCATTTCCCAATCCCCACTCCCTCCATCCCCATTTCCATCCCCATTCCCCTACACACATCTCCATCTCCAATCCCATTCCCTCTATTCCATTCCCTCCATCTGCATTCCCTCGATCCCACATCTTCTGTCCCTGCTCCCCCCAGATCCCATTACCTTCATCCCCGCATACCTCATCCCTTTTCTCCTATTCCTTCTCTTCTCCCCTCCGCAGAGATGTGGGGGGTGGACCAGCAGAGCCCACAGCCCCATCCCCATCTCCACCACCCGCATCTGGGGCATCAATCCCCACTTTATGCCCAGAACTCCCACTGGATGACCAGGGGAACACACTGCCCTGCATGGAGCGGGGTCTGCCTACCGCAGGGGTCCATCTGTGCCCCCCAACAGGCCCCAGGCCACCACCAGGAGGGTCTGCCTGCACCCTCACCTGCTTCCTTTGTTCACAGAGATGCAGCTCAGCCCTTCCCCACCTCACCCCAGACACTTTCTGTTTATTATGGGATAAAAGAGCATCGATCTGCTGTGGTGGATGCCAGGTCCGCCATCCCAATGGAAGCTGCACCCCAAGGAACCACAGGGTGGGGGGAGGCCGAGGGTGGCCGTGGGCTCCAGCACCGGGGCTCTGCAGTCCTCTTTGCCCGTGGGACAGGGAAGGATGTGGGATTCAGGGACACAGTGCAGGGCCACCAAACTGGAGGGACATTGTTGTGGGGGGGTGGGGTGAGGGGGGGGGGACTCTGGCGCTGCCACCTCCTGGCACCACAGCACTGCCGCAGGTGGGCGGCACGACCTTGAGCTGCCAGGGATGGCAGACTGAGGGGATCTGGGGAGGAAAGGGGGGGGGGGGGTGCGCAGAGCAGCTCGTCACCCCCCCCCCCCCCTCCCTTGGGGAGCACAGATCGGGGTGGTGGTTGTGTGTGGGGGGGGTGGTCCTTGATGGCTGTGCCCCCCTCCCACCCCCCAAGGTTCGGGCCAGCGCCATCGCTCAGGATGCGGATCAGAACTACGACTACGCCAGCAACAGCGTCATCCTGCACCTGGACGTGGGTGATGAGGTGTGTGTCAAGCTGGATGGTGGCAAAGTGCACGGCGGTAACACCAACAAGTACAGCACCTTCTCAGGCTTCATCATCTACCCTGACTGAGCACTGGGTCGAGGTGGGGGTGGGGGGGGGCACCTCCTAAGGCACCGTCGTCATCCCCCCTGCCTCCCTTCCAAAGCCCCGAGGTGATGATGCCTATAGGAAAACCCATTTCTGCACCTCTGCAGGCACCGATACCTCGCAGCTCCTTTGCACACGCACAGCAGCTCCCCCCCCATCACACACACATGTGTGCATGCTCACCGCCGTCCCCACGCGCCTCCCCCACGTTGCACACGCGTGTGCGCTCACCACACTCCCCCACGCACCCACTCACAAGCGTAAATGCTCCCTGCTCACCCCTGCATGTCAGCACCCCACAAGCACTGCGGTCCCCCCTTGCTGTGCTGTCCCCTTGGAGCCCCCCTCTCTCCCCTCCCCATCCCTGAACCCCGCAGTTTGTTGCACTCTGTGTTCCCCCCAAATAAAACATAATGGGTTTGGAGGTGCAGCTGCTGCCTGGGCCTCATCGTGGGGACGGTGTGGGGAGGGACAGAGCTGTGCCCCGTCTCGTGTCACCACAGCAGTAAGCAATGGGGGCACTGACACTGATACTGCCACCAGGGATGGGGACGGTCACCCTCCCCCCACACCCACGGGGACACAGCAGCAGGACGCAGCCCCACCGCCTCTCCTATGGGCTCCGTGGGGGCTCTGAATGAATGTAAGCGTTCCCACCTCGCGGGCACTGCTGTCACCGCGTGGCCAACGTGTGGCACTGCCACCAACCGCGGGGAAACGTCGGGGGATGGGGGCTGCCCCAGGGACGCCAAGAAGACCCCATACAGCAAAGCAAAGCAGACAATATTTTATTCACACTTTTTTCAGCGTTCCCCCCCAACTCCCACACTCTTTGTGCCCAGAACACCCACACTGCCCTGCATGGAGGGGGGGTCTGCCTGCTGCAGGGGGCCATCTGTACCCCCCAGCAGCCACTTGGCCACCACCAGGAGGGTCTGCCTGTGCCCTCACCCACTCCCTTTGTTCACAGAGATGCAGCTCAACCCCCACGTAGGTCACAGTTACGAGGAGAGGCTGTGGGTGTCCAGGGGGTCCTGGGGCATGGGGTCCACCCCCAACTCGGTCATGAGCCCCCACAGCTCCGTCAGCGCCGCTACGGCATCCGGTCGGTCCTGCACCATCTTCATCAGCTGCTGCAGGAGTAGGGCTGCACGCTGTGGGACACAGATTGAGTGTGGAGCTTGGAGTGAGACCCCCCTCCTCACCCCTGGGTCCCCCCTCAACCCGAGGATCCAACCCTGAGCCCAGGGAACCCCACAGCCCCCCCTACCTGTGCCTTGCTGAGGTCTGGGGTGCTGCTGGGATTTGCCATCATCACCTTAACATCCTGCTGGCCTTCATTCCCCTTAAAGAGCTGCACCACCACCTTGTCCTGGGGGAAGATTTCCCACAGTCAGACCACTCCTAGCACTCCCAGCCTCCACCCCTCACTGAGGGGAGAGAGGAATGGGTGCCACACGGGGACCAAAGAGCCCCACAGCACACACTCACCCAGGATGGGGACAGATTGTTGTTATTGATGGCAGCGTACGCACTGGGGTCAGACTGGGGGGTCACAGCCGGCCGCCAGCGCAAGGGGGTCTCCGAGGGGACAACGCCATCAGCAGGGGCTGAGGGGGCAGGTCGGGACCCCTTCCTAGTGCTTAAGCTGGCCCCCACCTGCAGGGCGCGCGGCTGGGAGATGCAAGGGGTGAGGCACGGCGTGCGGAGGGAGCTCTGAGTGCGGGGGGCAGAACGCTGCGGAGTGAAAGGGGAGAGCAGAGCAGGATGAGGGTGTGAGGGAAGGGAGTCGGAGCTGGCATTTCCCCCTCCCTCCCCTCCCATACACACCATGTTCTTGGTGACAGAGACACAGAGAGTCAAGCCAGCACTGGAGGAGCCTGCAGGGGGATGGGGAAGGAGGCTCAGCACCAACAAACCACCCCCAGAGTGCACAGTGGGGCGGGTTGGGGGGAGGGATAGGATGTACCTGGGGTGCCGTTCTTCTTCTTCTTGGGGACCCTCAGCCCCATGGATGCACTCTCCTGGAGGGGACAAAGCAGTGATGTTTGGGTCCCTGCTGTACTCAGAGGTGAGGGTCCTTTGGCAGAGGGGGGGCCACGGGCGGGCACCCTGCGGGCCAAGCAGGGCCTGCGCCCCACAGTCCCCAGCACAGGGGTGGCAACAGGTGAGGGGGTGACGGTGGTCTCTGTGGGGAGAAAGATCACAGGGGGGAGGGGCTTCAGTTATGTGGAGGGGGCACCCAACCACGGAGTGCCAAAGCCGGGAGGAGGAGGGGGGAAACTCACCTGCATCCAGCGCTGGAGGCGGGGGCTGCTCCACCTCTGTGTCACTGCGGGGAACAGCAGGACAGTGAGGACCCCCGCCCCAAATACTGAGGGACCCCTTCCTTGGGGGAAAGAGGGGGGAAAGAGGGGGGAAAGAGGGAGCCCCGTGCCCACTTCCGCGTTCTGTCTGCAGCCCCCCCAGCGCTCCTTCCTGCATTCATCCCCCCCTCCCCCCCCGTTACCGGGGCTGCCCGCAGGACGGAGCGGTGCAGGCAGCGTTCGGTCGTTCTCCATGTTCCGCCTGACGGGAGCGGGTCCGCACCGGGACGCGGCCGTAAGGAAAGCGTTTCGCGGTGTCGCTCGGCCCCGGAGAGCGGTTCTCCTTCTGGGAAGAGCCGCCCACCACCATCGCGCTCCGCAACCGCGCACCGCACCGCCACCGCTTCAAGTCCTCCTTAAGGCCCCTCCCGCCGCCCGTTACAGAACCCAGCGCGGCCGCTTATTGGTCCCCGCGCGGCCAATGGGAACCACGAGGAGTGTGGATTGGTCCGCGCTAAGCGAATGGGGTGCAGCGCGGGGTTAGGGGGCGGGGACAGCGAGGGGACCATAGAGAGGGCGAGAACCATAGAGGGGGGGAGGGGGAAACCATAGAGAGGAGGAAGGGGAACCATAGAGAGGAGGAAAGGGGGGGGGGGGGGGTGAAAATCCTAGAGAGGACAGAGGACCACGGGGAGGAAGGGTGGGGCAGAGTGACAGTGTGCGGATTGGTGGAGAGCGGCGGCCCCGCCCCCCGAAGGCCCCGCCCCATCCCCCACCCCAAGGCCTCCAGCCCCGCCCCCTGCAGGGACTCCGCCTCCTCCAAGCTCCATTCTTTATTTGCGGCTGAGGAGGTGGGGGGTGGGTGGGCAGCGGCGGGACCCCCCCCTCCGCTCTGCTACAACGTTGAGCACAGCAGCAAATAGCAATAAATAAAGGCACAGGCATGGGGGACGGCCGCAGAGGCCTCTTCATCACTTGGGCTCCACTCCTTGCACGACTCCATCACCACCTGCTGTGGGGGGAGAAAGGACCATTGGGGCGGGCAGACCCCATCTGGGAAGGCCCAGTTCCATGGGGAGGGGGTCAGAACCCATTTGAGGGGGGAGCGACCCCTCTGGGAGGGGTCGTACCCAATCATTCTGGAGGTGGGGGGTTGGGAGGAGGTCAGCCCGTCCTCCTGGAGGACCTTTAAGCTGTTCCCCCCCCCCCCCCCCAGTTTGGCAACTTTCCATTGCTTGTTTCGCCATGACTTCCTATCTCGGTGCACTGTAACCCAAAACAATACATGTGAAATCCAAGCAAAAAAAGTCCCTGCACCTGGTGGATGCAAAGATAAAAGCAGTCTGTTGTGACTCCAGTGGGATTGGTCAGAAAAACAAGGCTGTGCGCACACCAAGCAAAGCCAATCTGGAAAGCTGTAGAACAAGCACTCATAGATTCCTTTTGCTAAACGAATGTATTCATCCTTGATGGGACAGACTGATCTCTATTGCTAAACCAGCCTATGGGGGGAGCAGCTTCATTAGTGGGGTCTAATCCATTAGAAAAAGGGGGTGGCCTCCACTGGGGAGGGGTCAGACCCATTTGGGGAGGGCACAAATGCCCACAGCACAATGGTTTGGATGAGCACCACCCTCCACACAGGGCTCAGTGCTGGTTCAAGCATTGGGGGAGGGAGAAGCCACCAAAGCCCTTCTCCCTCTCCTCCAGACAAAGCCTTAAGGTGGGGGCACGAGGACACAGCTGCAGCCCTTGGGGATCCTGGCCACCCCTCACCGCAGTTCTTGTGGGAATGGAGACAGCGGGGCGCAGGGGGAGGTGACCCTGATTTTGCACTTCAATCCAATAATGGGATTCAATGGGAAAGGGATCCTCTCCAACGGCTGAGGTCTGCACAGCTGCTGTGCTCGGCCCAACGCTGCACCCCTCGGTCTCCCAGCAGCCAAAGGGTTGCATCCACAGCCCCGTGCTCAGGGTCCCATCTCAGCACTGCCCTCCCCACAGGACGTCCCCCTGCCTCACCAGCCCTCCTCACTGTTCAGCAGCTTGCGGTACGTGGCGATCTCCACGTCCAGGGCCATCTTGACACGGAGCAGATCCTGGTACTCGTGCAGCTGCCGTGCCATCTCCTTCTTCATGCACTGGATCTCCTGCTCCAGCCTCCCCATCGCCTCCTGGTAGCTCCTGATCTCCGTGCCAAACTCATCCTCCATCTCCTGCATCTGTCGCTGCAGTGCTTCATTCTGCAGGATGGAGGAGGGACACAAAGGGATGGCAAGGCGATGGGGGGCCCCTTGTACTCCCCCCCACAATCCTCCAGTGCTCACCATGCCCTTCAGCCCATCCACCTCGGAGGTGAGGCTCTGGATCTGCCTCTGGGATTCGTTCATCTCCTGCTTGGCCATCCGCAGAGCCTCGCAGTTACGGTTGGCAGCATCCGAGAGATCAGCAAACTGCAGGCACCGTGGGGGGCGAGAGGGAAGAGGGTCAGCATTGTGGAGGTGCCCCCATCATCCCCACATCAGCAGCAAACAGCAAGGTGCTGGTGCGGGGGGTCAGCCCTGGGGGGTGTCCCCATCCCATGCATGCCCTCGTGGGTACCTTGGCTTTGTACCACTCCTCGGCTTCCTGCAGGTTTGTGACAGTGATGCTCTCATACTGCGTGCGGATGTCGCGCAGTGCAGCTGTCAGATCCGGCTGCTGCAGCTCCATTCGTGCCCCCGCCTGTGGGCTCTGTGCATTCACCTCCAGCTCCCACAGCTCCTACGTGCCCACATTACACCGTCACACCACAGCCCCCAGGCGGGACCCCCATCCCTCCTTGGGTCCACCCCACAACCTCCTCGTGCAGCTTCTTCAAGAAGCTGATCTCATCCATCAGCAGCTCAATCCTGTGCTCCAGCTCCAGGCGGCACAGCGTGGCATCGTCCATGTCCTGCAATGGCTAAAGCTGCAGGGACTGCAAAGAGGATGGGACCCCCCTCCCCCAACCCCCCAATAGACTTCGAGCCACCCCCTGGGCAGAGTGCATGGGGCATCCCCGAGCCCTTTGCCAATTAGTGGGGGAAGTACATGGGGTGCACTGGACCCCCCCTCCCCCAGTCTCACCTTGCGGAACAGCACCAGGCTCTGCTCTGCATCTTCACGCTTCTGCATCTCATCCTCCAGCCTGGGGTGCAACGGGAGGGAGGTCAGAGTGGGGTAAGGGGGCATAGAACCCCATTTTAGGGATACGTAAGGGGGAAATTCTTTGTTTCTGGCACAGGCTGCCCAAAGGAGGTGTGGGTTTCCCACCCTGGAGGTGCCTAAGGCCAGGCTGCATGGGACCCCGGGCAGTCTGATGAGGTGGGGGGCAACCAACCCATAGCAGTGGTTGGGTTGGAAGGGCTTTGAGGTGCATCCCCTGCACCTTACACCCATCACACACCAGAGGACCATCCCCTGGGTCCTTTGCAACACATCTCAATCCTCACCCAACATCCCCAGCCCATTCCCTGGTCGTCGTCCCCCCTTCCCGGACCACACCGGTCCCCTCCCTGGTGTGTCCTGGTTCATTCTGGAGTCCCCGTCCCCATCCCAGTACATGCTCCATCCCTTTGCAACACATCCCAGTGCATTCCCTATGGCCTTAGTCTATTTCCTGCTTCCCATCCCAGTGCATCTCAATCTCCATCCCTCTGACCCCCACTGCATTTCCTATTTCCCACCCCCAGCGTATCCCAATGCATCCTAAATCCATTCCCAGCACCTCCAGATGCATCCCCCGCTGCCCACCCCTATTATGACCTCTGCTTCACTTCCCGGTGCATCTCCACTCATCTCCAGTTCCCACCCCAGACCACAGCCAGTCCCTCCTCAACACTTCCCCGTTCATCCCACCGTTTCCATTCCAGAGCCTCCTCCACCCCAACGGCTCTCGGTCCCCACCACTGTGAATTCCGCTTTACCCCATGGTCCCCACCCCCAGATCACTCCCAGTCCCTCCCCAGCACATCCCGGCTAACTCATCTCACATCACTCCCTTTCTCCCCTCTACACGTTTCGGTGCGCCCACCCTTCCTTCCCCGTCGCATCCCGGTCCTCACATCACATCGCTCCCGCTCCCTCCCCATACATCTCGGCGTCCCGCTCCCCTCCCATCACACCCCCTCCGCTCCTCCTCCCGCCGCGCACCGCCGCCGCAGCCCCTGCAGCTCCGCCGCGAGCCCATCGCGCTCTCCCTGCAGCCGTTCCCTCTCCCGGCCGAGGCGCTGCAGCCGCTCCCGCAGCCCCCGCAGCTCTCCCCGCACCAACCCCGCAGCGCGGGGAGCGGCGGCGGCGCGGCCGATGGCCGAACGGAGGGCTCCGTTCTGCCTCTCCAACGCCCGCACCCTCTCCAGGAAAGCGGCGAAGCGATCGTTCAGAGCCGCCAACTCCGTCCGCTCCGCGCTGCGCCCCGCCGAACGCGCATCAACGGGAACCGGCGGAGAATCGAGGGTGCGGTCCCGGGGTGGGGAGAAATCGCGACTCATCGCGGCTGCGGGAAGAGGCGGCCGTCGGTTGCGGGGATTGACAGCGAACGGCGGCTCCGCCCCGGCGGGGGGACGCGGGAGTGAGGAGCAACGGGAGGGAAAAGAGGGGAGGGGACTGGGGGTGGGGGCGGGGCTCTCTCAGGTGCTCCCGGTCGCTCCCTGGGCTCAGGTGGGAGCTGCTGAGTGCCAAAAGCAGCGGGGTTTGAGCATCGCTTGCGTTCCCCGTCCCTCCATCACTGTCACTGAATTCCCTAATAATTCGATTTCGGTAAGGAAGCATTTAAGAAAAACGTAACGTCAGTTCTATACTGTTTTTGGCACGTGTTTACAACACATTAACATAGATTTCCTTGCTTTGGAGAATTTTATTTGTATTGTATTGTATTGTATTTATTTTTTCACAGCTTTGCGCTCTTCAAAACCGAATGGAAAAACCCCAGGCAGCGTTCGGAGCAGCGCGGCTCTTTTCTCAGTCTCTGCTGCCACCGTGTGGCCAAAGAGCGGAACTGCAGGAGTGGCGCTCGGGGGGCGGTTGAGACCTGGAGGCGGCGGTGGCGGTTTTAGGGCCGAGGGAACTTTTAGCGGCGGTGCTGCTGCTGGTTTTATGGGGCGGAGGGGATCAGGGTTGCTCAAGGCGGCTCGGACCTCCCCGGCGCCAGCACTGCCCCGCAGAACGCTCTTGGAGCTGCTTAGCGCGTCGCTCTGCCCTCCCGCTCCGAGTCTCTATTCTCTATGGTAATTGGTAATCCTGTCGCTAACGTGCAAGTGTTGCGACACACAGAAATCGCGACTCTCCACTCTGACAGCTCTGCGTCGTCAGTTCGCCAATACCTACGATAATAGCGCTTGCGACAGTACTGCGCATGTGCAGTGAAACGCGGAAAGTCTGTTTTAACCGCTCTGCGCTCCCAGACCTCCAATCTCTATGCTTCTTTGGTCTTCCAGGCTGTAGTACACATGCGCAAACAGCTCTTACCGCTCTGCGCCACAGTTCCTCCAATCTCTATGGTCTTCGGTCCGCCAGGCGGCATTACGCATGCGCACAGGCTCAAGCAAGCACTTTGGGAAGCCTGTGGGGCACACGGGGGGCACAGAGAGGCGCTGGGGGACCGAGCGTAAGGGAGCTTTGGGGTGTCCAGAAGTCATCCGCCCCACCGGGAGGCGCCCCTGATTTTGGGGTGTCCCCAGTTAGGAACTGCCTCACTTTATAGAATCTCCCCATTTTTGAGGTTTCCCCATTTCTGGGTGTCCACATGGCTTCCACTAAGGGAATCCGTTTGGGGTGCGGGTAGGATTGGGATGAGGACAGGGGTGGGATGGGATTGCAACGGGGATGGGATTGGGGTTGGAGAGGATGAGAGTGGGGATTGGGATGGGAATGGGGTTGGGGATGGGATGGGATGGAGATGGTGATGAGGATAGAGATGGAAGTGCTGATAGGGATGGGATGGGGACGGATGAGAATGGGGTATAACTGGGATGAGGATGGCATGGTTTTGGGGTATGGATGAGCACAGGATGGGCTAAGGATGTGGCTGAGAAGACCCCCGGGTGCCCCCCACCACGCAGCGCCGGTGCGGCCGTTCCGATCACCTTTATTGGAGGAAACCAACAGAAAACCCAACGGCGCCCGGCGCCGCGCAGCCCCACACCCCACAGCACTCCCACCCCAACAGCAACGGGGCACGGAGGGAGACGGGGGGCAGACGTGAGGCCAGACCCCCCCAAAGACCCCCCCCCAAAAGAAAACCCCAAATGAAGCAGGGCGGAGCGGCAGGGCCCGGCAATGTCGGTTTTCCTCCTTTTTTTCCTTTCCTTATGCTGATTCTTGGCTTGATTTCGGCGGGGCGGCGCTGGGTTTTCTGTTCCATTTCGGTGTTGGGGTTGGGGACGGCCTTCATTCACCGCACTCCTCCTCCTCGCCGTCCACTGACAGCGCTGCATACTTGCTGGCGTGGCTGAACTGTGGGGTGCAGTGCCAGTGCTGTGAGGCTGGGCCCTGCCCCACAACCAGGCAAACCCATCCCCTATAGCTCCCAACCTGCAAAAAGCCTCAAATCCCAAAGCCCTGTAGGTCTCCTAAGCCCCAAATTCACAGAAAACCCCATACAGCACCCAAACTTCAAAGCCTAGGGCTGTGCCCTACAGCTCAGCCGGAGTGTGGCACTGCCCCCAGCCCCATCCAACCCCACTGAGGTCACAGCCAGGTCCCATCAGGTCCTACTGGGGTCACTCCCTTAATGGGACCTGATGGTAATGCATCTGACCCAGGTCTCACCTAATGCCACTGGGTCACACCCAGGTCCTGTCAGGTCCCACTGGGGTCACACCCAGGTCCCATCAGGTTGCTAATGAGACTTGATGCTAATGCATCAGACCCAGGTCCCATTCAATCCCTCTGGGGTCACTCCCAGGTCCTGTCAGGTCCCACTGGGGTCACTCCCTTAATGATGCTAATGCATCAGACCCAGGTCTCACCCAATGTCACTGGGTCACTCCCAGGTCCCGTCAGGGCACTAATGGAACCTGACGCTAATGCATCAGACCCAGGTCCCATTCAATCCCTCTGGGGTCACACCCAGGTCCCACTGGGTCCCACTGGGGTTACCCCCAGGTCCTGTCAGGTTCCCCCATGACACTCACGGGGGCTGGGCTGTCCTCCAGTCTCTTTGGCTCAGGCGCAGCTCTTGCCTCATGCTCCTTGCGGCCGTCTTTCCTGGGGAGGGATGGGGATGGCACTGAGCAGGGTGACGCAGGGCAGCATCCCCTCGTTAACTCTAACGAGCGGCACTCACCTCTCGGCCGAGCTCCCACTGCGCGCCTTAGGGCCATCCCGGCCCCCATCTGGCTTGTTCTCATCCCCTGGGGAGGAGACACGACCATGTGCTGAGGACGCCGTGTCCACCCAACCTAAAGCCACCATGTCCCCAGTGCCACCAAGGGGACACTTCTGCCCCCCATCCCACCCCACCGCCTGCCCCCCTCACCTCTCCGGTGGGTGTTCCTCGGGGTGGCCCCATTCTCTGCAGGCGGGCGGGAAGCCATCTGGCTGCTGGGGGGACAAAGGGTCACAGTGGGGTCAGAATGGGGTCAGAGAGGGGGACAGGTGTGGGGTCAGGCATTGGGGTTGGCCATCGGGGTCAGACATAGGGGTTGGCCACCGGGGTTGGCTTTTGGGATAAGATAATGGGTGTCAACCACTGGGGTTGGCCACTGGGGTGAGATATGGTGGTAAATCATTGGGGTTGGCTATTGGGGTCAGACATGGGGGGTCCACCATTGGGTTGGCTATTGGGGTGTTGGTCATTGGGGTGAGCCATTGAGGTTGGCCATTGGGATGAGATAATGGGTTTCAGATATGGGGTCAACCATGGATCAGAACGTGGGGGGTGATCAGTCTCTGCATCAGCCTTAAAGGGGAATGTTTTTGGGATTTCAGTCCCAGGGGATTAATTCTGGGGATTCAATCCTAGCAAGAACCTGCGGGGGAACAATTTGGGATTCAGCCCTGCACCAACCTCACAGGAGAACCATCTGAGGGTTCTGACCTCAGACAAATCTTATAGGGAACTGATTTGGGAAGGCCGAGCCCCACGCCAACTTTGCAGGGGAAGATTTGGGTTTCTGCCCCCCCCCCAACCTCTGCAGGGGGAACACCCGGGACTCCCAGCCCCATGCAAGCCCTCAGGAAACCATTTGGGCTCCCAGCCTCGTACTGAGATCCCAGCAGAACTTCAGGCTCCCAGCCCCATAACAAGCCCCCCATCACCCCTCACCTGCTGGGTGAGTGCTGCTCGGAGTCAGAGCCCGGGGAGCGGCCGGCGGTGCTGCTGCTGCGCTTGGCCCACGCGTTCTCCTTGGGGGGCGGCGCGGGCATCACCTTCAGCGGCTGCTTCTCCTCGCGGCCCTCCTCCTCGCGGCCGCACGCATCGCCCTCCACCGACTTCTCACTCTCCCTCCTCCGTGTGGCTGCGGGGGGCACAGAACGGCGGGCAGGGCTGGGGATGAGCCCTCCCTGCACCCCCCCCCCCCCATCCCCAGACCCCCACCCGACACCTACTCCTCCCGGTGGGACCGGTGCCAGCGGTGGTGCCAGGAGGTCCTGCGGCTCCGCTCTGCGAGGACTCGCTGCCCGTCCGTGACCGCTCAGGGTTGTCCTCACTGCGGCTGCTAGGGTACCTGGAAGCGGGGGGCGGACAGGGGAACGGGGCTCAGCGTGGCACCCTGCAGAGCTGTACCCCCGCCCCACGTCCCCAGTGCCGCGTCTCCCCACCGCTCCCGGGGCCGCCGCTCCAGCCTCTTGTCGTCCTCCAGCTGCCGCTGCAGCTTCTCCTGTTCCTTCTGCAGCCTCTCCTCCACCTCACGCTCGCGGGCGGCCGTGTCCACGGGTTTGGCCCCCCCAAAGATGGAGGCGGCGCGGCTGGACTGTGGTGCAGGGGCTGCTGTGCTCTCCTCCTCCTTCGGGGCGCTGCGCGGCTTCAGGTTCAGCTTGGGGCGCTGCGTGGGGCCTGGGGGGTGGCACGTGGGGCTGGGGGGTGTCCTGCACCCCCGCATCCCGTACACAACGCATCCCGCAGTTCTCCACCCACGTGCTTCATCCTGCATCGGCCATCTGCTTCCTGCACCCCACAAATCCCGAATCCCACATCCTGCATTCCCCTACACCTCCCCATCCAACAGTCCGTACCCCAAATCACACCACCTGAAATACCCCAACACCCTCCATTCCATACCCCACATCCTGCATCCCCCCCCACACCTCCCATCCCAATTCATCACCTAAATCCCCCTACACCCCCCATCCCATACCCCACATCATGCATCCCCTCCACCCCCCATCCCAACCCCATCCCCTGAATCCCCCAACACCCCCATCTCCCCATCCCATACCCCCCATCCTGCATCCCCCTACAGCCCCCATCCCATACCCCACATCATGCATCCCCCTACACCCCCCATCCCATACCCCACATCATGCATCCCCTCCACCCCCATCTCATCCCAACCCCATCCCCTACATCCCCCTCCACCCCCATCCCATACCCCCCATCCCGCATCCCCTCCACCCCCCATCGCAACCCCATCCCCTGAATCCCCCAACACCCCCATTTCCCCATCCCATACCCCCCATCCTGCATCCCCCTACAGCCCCCATCCCATACCCCACATGCCACATCCCCATACACACCCTATCCCACACCGCACATCCCTCCCCATACCCCGCATTCTGCATCCCCCTACACCCACGCCCCACATCCTAAATCCCCCTCCACTCCCCATCCCCATACCCCGCACCCCCCTACATATTCCCAACCCCATCCCCTACATCCCCCTCCACCCCCATCCCATACCCCCCATCCCGCATCCCCTCCACCCCCCATCGCAACCCCATCCCCTGAATCCCCCAACACCCCCATCTCCCCATCCCATACCCCACATCATGCATCCCCTCCACCCCCCATCCCATCCCAACCCCATCCCCTTTATCCCCCTCCACCCCCCATCCCATACCCCCCATCCCGCATCCCCTCCACCCCCCATCGCAATCCCATCCCCTGAATCCCCCAAAACCCCCATCTCCCCATCCCATAACCCCCATCCTGCATCCCCCTACACCCACGCCCCACATCCTAAATCCCCCTCCACTCCCCATCCCCATACCCCGCACCCCCCTACATATTCCATCCCGACCCCATCCCTTACATCCCCCAACACCCCCATCTCCCCATCCCATACCCCCCATCCCGCATCCCCTCCAACCCCATTCCCTAAATCCCCCAATACCCCCCACCACTCCCTCACCCCAACCCTCCACCCCTCACCCCCCAATTCCCCCCTCCCCATTACCCCTCTCTTCACGCCGGAACTCATCCCTCCCGTATTCCTCTCTCCCTCCCCAGCGCTCCATGCGGTCGTCGCGCCGCTCGTAGCGCTCCTCGTAGCGGTCGCTGCCGCCCCGGAAATCGTCGTCGCGGCGGTAGCCACTGCCGAAGGCCCTCCGGCCGCTGCCGATGCGCGAGTTGTAGCCTGGGGGGTGCAGAGCTCAGCCCCCCTGCGCCCGCAGTGCGGGGACTTCACCCACAGCTGCTGGGAGTCAGCCTCAGCTACTGGGATTTACCCGCAGGTAACGGGATTCAGCCTCAGCTTCTTGGGATTCAGCCTCAGCTATGGGGATTCACCCCCAGGTAATGGGATTCAGCCTCAGCTTATTGGGATTCAGCCTGAGATGTTGGGATTCAGCCTCAGATATTAGGATTCATCCTCAGCTATTGGGATTTACCCCCAGGTAATGGGATTCAGCCTCAGCTTCTTGGGATTCAGCCTCAGCTATAAGGATTTACCCCCAGGCAATTGGATTCAGCATCAGAATATTGGGATTCAGCCTCTGATATTAGGATTCAGCCTCAGCTATTGGGATTCACCCCCAGGTAATGGGATTCAGCCTCAGCTTCTTGGGATTCAGCCTCAGCTACTGGGATTCAGCCTGTGGTGTTGGGATTCAGCCTCAGATATTAGGATTCATCCTCAGCTATTGGGATTTACCCGCAGGTAATGGGATTCAGCCTCAGCTTCTTGGGATTCAGCCTGAGATGTTGGGATTCAGGCTCAGATATTAGGATTCACCCTCAGCTATGGGGATTTACCCCCAGGGAATTGGATTCAGCATCAGAATATTGGGGTTCAGCCTCAGGTGTTGGGATTCATCCTCAGCTACTGGGATTTACCCGCAGGTAAGGGGATTCAGCCTCAGCTTCTTGGGATTCAGCCTCAGCTATGGGAATTCACCCCCAGGCAATTGGATTCAGCATCAGAATATTGGGATTCAGCCTCCGATATTAGGATTCATCCTCAGCTATTGGGATTTACCCCCAGGTAATGGGATTCAGCCTCAGCTTACTGGGATTCAGCCTGTGGTGTTGGGATTCAGCCTCAGATATTAGGATTTACACCCAGGGAACTGGATTCAGCCTCAGCTATTGGGATTCAGCCTGAGATGTTGGGATTCAGCCTCAGCTATGGGGATTCACCCCCAGGCAATTGGATTCAGCATCAGCTTCTTGGGATTCAGCCTCAGATATTAGGATTCATCCTCAGCTTCTGGGATTTACCCGCAGGTAATGAGATTCAGCCTCAGCTTCTTGGGATTCAGCCTCAGCTATGGGGATTCACCCCCAGGCAATTGGATTCAGCATCAGAATATTGGGATTCAGCCTCTGATATTAGGATTCATCCTCAGCTATTGGATTTTCCCCCAGGTAATGGGATTCAGCCTCAGCTTACTGGGATTCAGCCTGTGGTGTTGGGATTCAGCCTCAGATATTAGGATTTACACCCAGGGAACTGGATTCAGCCTCAGCTATTGGGATTCAGCCACAGGTAATGGGATTCAGCCTCAGGTAACAGGATTCACTCTAAGATATTAGGATTCATCCTCAGCTATTGGGATTTTCCCCCAGGTAATGGGATTCAGCCTCAGCTTATTGGGATTCAGCCTGAGATGATGGGATTCAGCCTCAGATATTAGGATTTACTCCCAGGGAATTCAATTCAGCCTCAGCTATTGGGATTCAGCCTCAGGTGCTGGGATTCAGCCTCAGATATTAGGATTCATCCTCAGCTATTGGGATTTACCCACACGTAATGGGATTCAGCCCCAGGTGTTAGAATTCAGCCTCAGATTTCATGGACTCATCCTCAGATATTAGGATTCACCTTCAGCTATTGGGATTTACCCACACGTAATGGGATTCAGCCTCAGCTGTTGGGATTCAGCCTCAGATACAACGATTCACCCACAGGTAATGGAATTCAACCTCAGTTATTGGGATTAACTCTCAGCTACTGGGATTCAGCCTCAGGTGCTGGGATTCACCCTAAGATATTAGGATTCACCCTCAGTTACTGGGATTCCCCCTCAGGTATTGGGATTTGTCCTCAGCCACTGGGGTTCACTCTGCAATACTGGGATTCACTCTCAGACACCGGGTTTTCCCCTGCTGTTGGGATTCCCCCGTGCCCCCACTCCCATCCCCACGTGGCAGCACCGCCTCACCCCGGTCGTAGTCTCTGCTGCGGTCATCGTAGCGATCTCTGCCGCCGAAGCCGCGGTCCATGTCGCGCCGTGGGCCATCGCGATACCGATCGTCGTAGCGATCCCGATACCCTGCAGGATGGGGCCGACAGGCGGGGTCAGGGCTCACATTACCCCGTGCCCGCGGGTCCCTGTCCCCGTGTGGATCCCGACTCACTGTCCCCGAAGGCGTCGTCCCCGCGGCGGGGTGGGAAATCATCGAAGCTGTCGGAGGCGGCGGGACGGGCGCGCCAGTCGCTCTCAAACCTCTCTGAGTCCCGGAAACGGTCCCGGTCCCGTCCAAAGCAGCGATCGTCCCGGTCTGAGGGATGGGATGGGGAAGGGGAAAAGGGGAAGAAGAGAAAGAGAACAAGAGAAAAGGGGAGGGGGGATGAGGAAGGTGGAAGGGAAATGGGGAAGAGAACAGGGAAGTGGGAAAGGGGAAGCAGAGGGAAAAGAAAAGGTAAGAGGGAAAGGGGAAGAGAAAAGGGAAGGGGGAATGGGGAAGAAGGAAAGGAAATGGGGAAGACAATAGGGAAGTGCAAAAGGGGAAGGAGAAGGAAAAGAGGAAAAGGAAAGGAAAGAGGGAAAGGAGAAGAGAAAAGGGAAGGGGGAAAAGGAGAAAGAGAAAAGAATAAAGAGAAGGGGGGATGGGGAAGGTGGAAGGGAAATGGGGGAAAGAACAGGGAAATGGGAAAGGGGAAGGAGAGGAAAAAGAGGAAAAGGCAAGGAAAGAGGGAAAGGGGAAGAGAAAAGGGAAGGGGGGAAAGGAGAGAAAGAGAACAGAAGAGTAAAGGGAAGAGGGGATGAGGAATGTGGAAGGGAAATGGGGAAGAGAACAGGGAAGAGGGAAAGGGGAAGGAGAGGGAAAAGAAAAGGTAAGAGGGAAAGGGGAAGAGAAAAGGGAAGGGGGAATGGGGAAGAAGGAAAGGAAATGGGGAAGACAATAGGGAAGTGCAAAAGGGGAAGGAGAGGGAAAAGAGGAAAAGGAAAGGAAAGAGGGAAAGGAGAAAAGGGAAGGGGGAAAAGGAGAAAGAGAGAAGAATAAAGAGAAGGGGGATGGGGAAGGTGGAAGGGAAATGGGGAAGAGAACAGGGAAATGGGAAAGGGGAAGGAGAGAGAAAAGAGGAAAAGAAAAGGAAAGGGGAAGAGAAAAGGGGAGGGGGGAAAAGAAAGAGAACAGGAGAAGAGTAAAGAGAAGGAGGGATGGGGAAGGTGGAAGGGAAATGGGGAAGAGAACAGGGAAATGGGAAAGGGGACGGAGAGGAAAAAGAGGAAAAGGAAAGGAAAGAGGGAAAGGGGAAGAGAACAGGGAAGGGGGAAAAGGAGAGAAAGAGAAAAGGGAAGGGGGAATGGGGAAGGAGGAAAGAGAACGGGGAAGACAACAGGGAATGGAGAAGGAGGGGGCAAAGAGGAAAAAGAAAGGGGGAAAGGAAAAGAGGAAAAAGAGGAAGAGAAAAGGGAAAGGGAAAGAGTATAGGGAATGGGGATGGGGAACAGGAAAGGGAGGGGAAAGGAAAGAGGAAAGGGGAAGGTGAAAGGGAAAGGTATAAGGGAAAGGGGAAAGGGAAGGGGAGGGGAAGTGGGAGAGCATGAGACTGGGGCTGGGGACAGAGCGCAGTGTGGAGACCTGCATGTGGCAGGGAGCACCGACGCTCTGGAACCACACAGTGCTGTGCCACTGTGTGACAGGGACACAGATGTGGGGACAGTTTGGTAGGTCCCCCACTGCTGAGCCCCTGCTCTGCCCAAAGCCAGCCTCCACTCCAGCCTTCAGCCCAAGACTCCAAATCCAGAGTTTCTGACCCAAACTGGCAGTAGGGGTTCAATGGAGGACCTGGCTGAGCCCTAGGAGCTCACCTTTATCCTGAGCTTGGTCAGCAACATCCACTCGTATCCTTCTGTTTCCTAGAGACTGGGAAAAAAAAACAACAGAGGAATCAGTCCCCTGGAATCAGCCCCAGCCTCCAAATATTGGCCCCAACCCTGAGGGATTGGTGTGAGCCAATGTTGGAGCGATGGTTGAGCACAGAGCAGGCAGCTTGTGCACCACGGGGGCTCTCCTGGAGAACCAAAAACCAAAGGTTTGCTCTCCTTGAGGCCCTAAAGGCAAAGTTCTGCTCTCCTGGAAACCCTAAAGGCAACATTCTGCTCTCCTGGGACTCTGAAGGCAACATTCTGCTCTCCTGGGATTCTGAAGGGAACATTCTGCTCTTCTGGGCATCCTACAGGCAATGTGCTGCTCTCCTGGGGGCCCTAAAGGCAACGTTCTGCCCCATTTCAGCCCTTCCCCCACAGTTCTGCCAGCCCCAGAGAGGTCCATACTTGGTGCCACTTTGATGCCTCCTAGGACATGCAGTGCCTGCCCTGCTGCTGACACCTGAGGTCCTGAGCTCACCTCCTCATTGAGGCTCAGTGCCTGGAACAAGGAGTCGATGTCTTCAAACTCAGCGTAGCCAAAACCTTTCAACCTCTCAGGGTTGGTGGGCTCCCGCGGCAAGCGCACAGCACTGATCTGTGGGGAACAAGGAGGAGGAGGAGGAAAGAACGTGTTAGGGCCACTCTCCTGTGGTCAGAAGCAAGACCATGGGGTTGTCTGTGAGCACGTGGCTCACTGCTATCCCTGGGGGTTGCCTGTTGGCCCCATTTTATCCATTCAGTAGAACCCAAAGCCATCAGATGGCCCTGTGATCTGTAGGGACCCTTCAAACTCAACCATCCTATGATTTGATAATCTCTCAGGATGCTTCCATCCCAACCATTCTATAGTTCTGCAATCTAAAAGGATCCTTCCATTCCAACCATCCTATGATCTTCCAGGACCCTTCCAACCCAGCTGTTTTTGATTCTGTAATATTAAAGGACCCTTCCAACCCTTTAAGGACCTTTAAGGACTCTTTCCACTCAATCCATTCCACGGTTCTACGGTTTTGTGATCTTGAAGGTCCCTTCCAACCCAACCATCCTATGATTCCATGATCTTCAAAGACTCTTCCAACTCAACACATCCCACGGTTCTATGATCTTCCAGGACCCTTCCAATCCAACCGTTCCATGGTTCTATAATCTTCAAGGATGCTTCTAACTCTAATATCCCATGGTTTTATCATCTTGAAGAAACCTTCCAATCCAATTGTCTCACAGTTCTATGACCTTGAAGGACCCTTGAAGCCCAACTATCCCACGGTTCCATGAGCTTCAAGAACCCTCCAGCCCAACCAGTCCCACGGTTTTATAATCTTGAACCACCTTTTTATCATTCTAGGATCTTGAAGGCTCCTTCCAACTCAACCATCCCATCGTTTCATGATCTTAAAGGACCCTTCTATCATTCTAGCATCTTCAAAGATTCTTCCAACCCAATCATCCCATGACTCTATGATCTTCAAGGACCCTCACCCCATTTTGGGGCTGCAAACACTTCCAAGCATCGTAACACCCCTTTCCATGGCGTGCAACAAGATCGTTCCCGCTCCCAAAACACCACAGAATCCCACCAAACCCACCCTGAGATCACCGCACCGTGCCCCCCACGTGACTCACATTGAGGCCCCTGAAGAAGTCCTTGATGGAGTCCTCGGTGACGTCGTAGGGCAGGTTGCCCAGGAAGGCCGTGTAGGGCGGGCACTTGGGCAGGCGGCTGCGGTCGATGTTGGGCTCACGTGCGGCGCGGGGGGCGGTGGGCAGCAGCGAGCGGTCGATCAGCGGAGCCCGGTACACATCATCATCGTTGCTGTGCCAAGCGGTGGAGACTGTGGGAGAGAATGGATGGGCTGCAGGAGTTGGCCACAGCGTGGAGGTGGTGGCCAAGGGCTGCAGGGGGTGGCCACCCTGCGGAGGTGGTGGTCGTGTGCTGCAGGAGGTGGCCATGGGCTGCAGGGGGTGGCCACAGTGTGGAAGTGATGGCCATGGGCTGCAGGGCATGCTCACAGCGTGGGGGTGGTGGTGACAGCATGGAGATTGTGGCCGTGGGCTGCAGGGGGTGGCTACAGTATGGAGGTAGTGGTGACATCATGTTGGTGATGGTCACATTGTGTAGGTGGTGGCCAAGAGCAGAAGGGAATGGCCACAGCATGGAGGTGGTGACCATGGGCTGCAGGGGGTGGCCAGCATGTGAAGGTGCTGGTCGGGTGCTGCAGGAGGTGGCCATGGGCTGCAGGGGGTGGCCGCAGTGTGGAGGTGGTGGCCACATCATACTGGTGATGGTCACATCTTGTAGATGATGGCCAAGAGCAGCAGGGAGTGGTCACAGCATGGAGGTGGTGGTGACAGCATGGGGGTTGTGCCCACGGGCTAAAGGGGGTGGCCACCACATGGACGTGGTGGTCATGTGCTGCAGGAGGTCGCCATGGGCTGCAGGGGGTGGCTACAGCACGGAGGTGGTGGCCATGGGCTGCAGGGAGTGGCCACAGCACGGAGGTGGTGGCCATGGGCTGCAGGAAGTGGCCACAGCACGGAGGTGGTGGCCACATCATGTTGGTGATGGCCACATTGTGTAGGTGATGGTCACATCATGTAGGAGGTGGCCAAGAGCAGCAGGGAGTGGCCATGGTGTGGAAATGGTGGCCATGGGCTGGAGGACGTGCTCAGAGCATGGGGGTGGTGGCCATGGGCTGCAGGGTTGGCCAGAGCAGGGAGGTGGTGGCCATGGGCTAGAGGTGGTGGTCACATCACCTAGATGGTGGCCATGTGCTGCAGGTGGCAGACACGTCGTGCAGATCGTGGCCACGTTATACACAGTGGCCACCCCACAGCAACAGGGATGGTGGCCACCCCCTTTAGCCCATAGCCACAGACACGGTGGCCACCCCACACAGACTGTGGCCCCTCAGCATGGACAGCAGCCCCCCCAAAACAGACAGTAGCTGCCCTAGGTTCGCTCTCACCCCTACCGTCGCCGTCCAGGTCATCGGTCTCATCGGCCCAGCTGACTGGCTTGGGGATGTAGGTGGGCGCACCGCTGCCGCCATCCTCCGCCAGGAAATCAGTCAGGGTCAGGGTCTTCCCCTTCTTGTTCTTCTTCTTGGCTGCTGCGGGGTGGGGGGATGGCCAGATTGGCACCAGGGCTCTGTCTGTACTCCCCCCCCCCCCACTGGTGGCAATGGGATGTGAGGAGGAGGGGGTGGGGGTCAAGAGCTGCATTCACACACAGCTGCCCCAAATCGGTGAGGAGCTCTGCCAGAACGGCAGGGGTGTCACCAAATCAGGTGTAGAGCTCATCGGAATAGGCATGGAGGTCACCAAAACTGACACAGAGGTCACCAAAATGGGCACGGGATCATCAAAACTGGCACGGTTGCCAAACTTGGCAGAGCTCCTCAAAATCAGCACAGGGGCTGCCAAAATCGCACACAGTTCCCCAAAATCAGCTCGGGGTCACCAAAACTGACACAGGAGTCATCAAAGCCGGCATAAGGATCCCCAAAATTGGCACAGGGGTTGCCAAAACTGGCACAGAGGGTCACCAAAAGCACATGAAGATACCCAAAAACTTGTTGAGAACCCCAAAATCTCACAGAGCTCCCCACAAACATGAAGAGGTCCCCAACACCAGCACAGGGATCACCAAAACTGACACAGAGCTCCACAAAACCAACATGGGGAGCCAGCAAAAGCACATGGAGACATCCAAAAACATGCAGAGCTCTCCAAAATCTCACAGAGCTCCCCAAAACCAGCATGGGGGTCATCAAAACCAGCACACTGACTGCACGCTGCACAGGGCCAGCACAGCACTGCTGCCACCACGCACTGCACAGGGCCCAGCACCATAGCACTGCCACCAAGAACAGAGCCCAGCAGCACACAGACATGATGATGGTGCACTGCACGAGTCCCAGCAGTGCATGGGGTGGTGCTGATCCACTGCATCATGCCCACAGTGCCCAAATGTCACTGTGCGTTACATCAGGCAAGCACCACCACGCTGCACCACACACTGCAGAGCCCAGCAGTGTACAGATGTGATGAAGGTGCACTGCATTATGCCAGCAGTGCCCAGATGTCACTGCACAGTTCATAAAAGCAGCGTGACAGCACTGCCACCACGCTCTGCATGTGGCCCAGCACTGCACAGAGAAGCAATGATGGTGCACTGCATGAGTCCCAGCAGTGCACAGGGTGGTGTTGGTGCACTGCACGATGCCAGCAGTGCCCAGATGTTGCTGCACACTGCAAAAGGCCAGCACCAGTGCTGCCATCAGCACTGCACACAGCACAGCAGTGTACAGGATGGCGTTGGTGCACTGTGTGGGGCCAGCAGGGCCCAGATGGCACTGTGCATCGTACATGGACAGCACCACAGCACTGCCACCATGCACTGCACAGAGTCCCAGCACTACGCAAATGTGATGACAGTGCACTGCATGACTCCTAGCAGCATGCGGGTTGGTGCTGGAGCACTGCACAGGGCCAGTATTACCCAGATATGACTGTGCATTGTACACAGCACTGCCACCATGCAGTGCACAGAACCCAGTCTTGCACCACTGCATGATGCCAGGAGTGCCCAGATGTCACTGCACAAGACCAGCACCACAGCACTGCACCACACAATGCACAGGGCCCGGCGCTGTACAAATGCTGATGATGGCACACTGCACAATTCATAGCAGTGCATGGGGTGGTGCTGGATCACTGCATGGGGCCAGCATTGCACAGATGTCACTGTGTGTTGCACACGGCCAGCATCTCAGCACTGCACCATGCACTGCACAGATGTGATGAAGGTGCACTGCATGATGCCAGCAGTGCCCAGATGTCAGTGCACACTGCACAAGACCAGCGCCACAGCACTGCACCATGCCCTGCAGAGGGCCCAGCACTGCACAGATGTGATGAAGGTGCACTGAATGAGCCCCAGCAGTGCACAAACACTACGATGGTGCACTGCATGATGCCAGCAGTGCCCAGATGTCAACGCATATTACACATGGCCAGCACTACAGCACTACACCACGCACTGCACAAGGCCCAGCACTGCACAAACGTGATGATAATAGTGCACTGCACGGGTTCCAACACTGCACCGGGTGGTGCTGATGCACTGCATGAGCTCAGCAGGCCCCAGATGTCACTGCGCATTGCACACGGCCAGCACTGCAGCGCTGCCACCACGCACTGCACAGAGCCCAGCAGCGCACAGAGAAACGATGATGGTGCACCGCACGATCCGCAGCCGTGCACGGACGCCGGTCGGGCCGGGAGAACCGGCCCGGACGCTGTCGCCGCACGGCACACACGTCACCCCGCGTTGCGCAGCGCCCGGAAGCGCTTCGGCTGTCCCCGTTCCCCGCACCCAGCCCCGCACCGCCGCTCCCGGCCCCGCACCGCGCCCCACGTGGACCCCCCCCCGGCTCCGCGCCTGCGCAGTTCCGCGCCCGTCCCCTCCCCCCCCCCCAATGGGCGCTGTGTGTATGTGTGTATGGGGTGGGGTGGGGGGGCAAGGCCCGAAGGCCGCTCCCGGCCCTGAAGGCCCCGCAGAGCCGCGGTGCCGCCCCCGCAACGCCGCCAACCCCTCGCCCGACCCCGTCTCGAAGCAGCGGTGGGGCAGCGGAGTGGGGAAGGGCCGCTCGGAAGTGGCTTTGGGGCGACCGCGGGGCGGTGTGGGGTCGGAGCCGCCGCGCGGCGCTCACCTGAGGCCGCCATCTTGGCAAGAGGCAGAGAGAGGGCGAAAGGCCCGGATGGAGCCGTCACGTGACCGCCGGAGCCACGCCCACTTCCGGCGGGGTGGGGCGCGGGAAACCCGGGGGGAGGGGGGGTCGGAGGGGGAGTGCGCAGTGCCGCGTGTGCGGCGGGCACGTGGGCGGTGCGTCACAGAGTGACAGAATGGCGCGGGTTGGAAGGGAGCTCAAGGATCACGGAGCTCCAACCCCCTGTGCCATGCAGGGCCACCAACCTCCACATCTCACAGCAGCCCAGGCTGCCCAGGGCCCCATCCAGCCTCCAACACCTCCAGGGATGGACGGGGCATCGCAGCCTCTCTGGGCAGCTGTTCAGCCCCTCACCGCTCTCACAGCACAGAACTTCCCTGACATCCATTTCCCCTCGTCCTGCTGCCATCTCCCCTTGCACAGAGCTGCCTCCCTTCCTGGCTGCAGGCTCCCTTCAGGCACTGCAGGCTGCACTCAGCTCACCCCCAGCTTGTCCTCTCCATGCTGAACGAGCCCAGCTCCCTCAGCCTGGCTTTGTAGTGGAGGTGCTGCAGCCCCTGCTCATCTCCAGCTCCTCTGCACCCTCTCCAACAGCTGCCTGCCTTTCCTGTCCTGGGGGCTCCAGCCCTGGACGCAGTGCTGCAGATGGTACACAAGAGCACAGAAGATGCTCACAAGAGCAGAGCAGAGGGGGACGATCGCCTCCCTGTCCCTGCTGCCACCCCTCTGCTGCTGGAGCCCAGGATCCCATTTGCTTTCCGAGCTGCAGTCACACACTGCTGGCTCACGTTCAGCTTCTCATCCCTCGGGACCCCCCAGGTCCTTCTGTGCAGGGCTGCTCTCAAGGATGCTCCTTCCAATCTGTATGGATGCCTGCCATTCCTCCAGCCCTAGTGCAAATCCAAGTGCACTGATATGTGTGTTTGTGTGTCTGTTCATCTGTCTGTTCATCCCAGTCCCCGTGTAACGCAGCCCTTTGTGCAATGCACCCCCTCCAGACTGTGTGCCACCAGTCTGTGTACAATGTGTGGTCACTCATTGCTGTGTAATGCAGGTTCCAATGCAGTGCACCATCACAACCCGCCATGCACCGCTAGTTCACATGCAATGCAGTCACTCCCCTGTGCAATGCAGGTCCTTGTGCAATGCACCATCATCCCCCTGTGATCCACCAGACCATGCACAACACACAGCCACTCCTTTGTGCAACGTGGCCCCTTGTGCAATGCATGGTGCACTACTGCTTCTCGTGTGTTGCACCAGCATTGCCTGGTGTCCAATGGAGCATATCATTTGTTCAGTGCATCATCGTGCCCCTCCGTGCACCAGCAGGTGTGGAATGCACAGTGATGCCCCCTCTGTGCACCTCCTCTTGTTGTGCAACGTGTGGTCAGTCCTCCCCATGCACTTTTGGCACTTGTGCAATGCACAACCACTCCTCCCCGTGCAATGCAAGTCCTTGTGCAATGTGCAATCACCCCCCTATGCATTGCTGGGGCTGTGCAATGAATGGTCATGCCCATCACTCCCTCTCTCATTCTCTCTCCTTTCTTCCCTCCCTCCCTCCATCCCTCCTTCCTTCTCTCCTTCCCTCTCTCCCTCCATCTCTCCATCACTCTTTTTCTTCCTCCCTTCTTCTCTCCCTCCATCTATCTGCCCATCTATCCCTCTCTTTCTCCTTCCTTCTCTCCCTCTCTCCTTCCCTCTCCTTCTCTTCCCCTTTTTTTTCCTTTCCTCCTTCTCTCCATCCATTCTTCCTTTCCTCTCTCTATTCCTCCTTCCCTCCGTTCTCCCATCCCTTCCTCTCTTCCTCCCTTCCTTTCTTTCCTTCCATTTCCCTCCCTCCTACCCCCTCACCCTCCCTCCATCCCTTCCCTCTCGATCTCTCCATCCCTCCCACCTCTTTTCCTCCTCCATCTCGCATCCCTCCATCCTTCCCTTCTTCCCTCCCCCTGCTTCTCTCCCCACCTCTCCCTCCCTCCACCTCCATCCCTCCTTTCCTCCACCCATCCATCCCTCTCTCCCTCCCTCCATTCCTCCCTCCCTCTCTCCCTTCCACCCTCTCCCTCCATCTCTCCATCCATCCATTCCTCTCTCCATCCTTCCCTCCATTCATCCCCACTTCTCTCTGTACCTCCATCCTTCTTCCCTCCCTCCCCTCTCCCATATCTCCACCTTTCCTTCCTTCCCCCAACCCGTGCCTCAGTTTCCCCACCACACACATTGCACTGAGCCCCATCTTTGTCACTTTGCTTCTTTATTTGTGGGGCAGGGGGTGGCACCTCGCCGTCCTCCCCCCTCAGTAGCTGCGCACTTTGACCTCTTTGCTCTCGGACACCACTTTGCCATCCACCGTCCTCTGGGTGCTGCGCTGCGTAGTGACCGTCCCCTCCGTCCCCAGAGCATCCTGCAGACTGTGGGGCAGCGGGTGTCCCCGTGTCACACACTCCTATGTTACCCACTTCTGTCACCCACCCCTGTGTCACCCACCCCTGTGTCACCCACTCCTGTTACCCACTCCTGTCACCCACCCCTGTGTCACCCACTCCTGTTACCCACTCCTGTCACCCACCCCTGTGTCACCCACCCCTGTGTCACCCACCCCTGTTACCCACTCCTGTCACCCACCCCTGTGTCACCCACCCCTGTGTCACCCACTCCTGTCACCCACCCCTGTGTCACTCAGCCCCATGCCACCCTTCCCCACTGCTACCCCAAGGAACTTGGAGGGGACATCAGGGCTGGGGGGAGGAGTTGGGGTGCCTGGCCACTGGATGCCACCACTGTCCCTGTGCTGTCCCCAGATGTCCCAGCAGATAGGATACGGACGTGTTTGTACCCACAGCTCATCTCTGGTGGGTGTCACTGTCCCTTTGCTGTCCCTACAGAATCCCCACTGGGTGTCACCGCTGTCCCTTTGTTATCCCAATAGGATTCCTCAGGGGTGCCACTGCTGTCCCCTTTTTGTCCCTATAAGGCCACCAGAGGTCAGGACCTGCACCTCCCAGAACTGGGGCTTGCCCCATTGAATGCCACCACTGTCCCCTTGCTGTCCCCAAACATCCCAGAGGATGGGACATAGACATCTCAACACTTGGTCTCACCCCACTGAATGCCACCACTCTCCCCTCTATCTGTCCTGTATCCCCTCTATCTGTTCCTGTAGGGTCACAGAAGTCAGAACTTGGACTTCGCAGCACTGGGACTCAACAATGATGGATGCCATCGTTGTCCCCTCGCTGTCCCCTCTATGTCCCTATAGGGCCACAGAGGTCAGGACCTACACAACCAAGTGCTGGGTCTCTCTCCACTGAATGCCACCACTGTCCCCTTGCTGTCCCCAGACATTCCAGCGGATGGGACATGGACATCCCAACACCAGGGCTCAGCCCACTGTGTGCCATCATATCTGTCCTTATAGGGTCATGGAGGTCAGAATGTGGACTTCCCGCCACTGGGGCTCAACACTAATGGATGACAACGTTGTCCCTTCACTGTCCCCTTTCTACCCCGAGAGGACCACAGAGGTCAGGACCTACACACCCAACACCGGCTCTCACCCCACCCAGATGCCCCACAGTCCCACAGTGGTGCCACCCCCCATGTCCCACCTGAACCCCTCTCCTCCCTCGAGCAGCGCACGGTACGTGGCAATCTCAGCTTCCAGCTTGCTCTTGGCGTCCTGCAGTGCGCAGTGCTCCCGGTTCTGACGCTGCAGTTCTGCCCGTGCCTGCGCCAGCTCCTCCTCCCCGCGCAGGATCAGGCCCTGCAGCTGCTCCAGCTGCGCCCCGTATCGCGCCTCTGTCTCTGCCAGGCTGCCCTCCAGCCCCGCGTTCTGCAGCGTGACCCCAAGAGCTCAGTGGGGGTAAGGGGCCTGAACCCTCCCCTCCTCCCAATTCCCTCACTCAGTGGGGTCATCCCTTATGAGGTTGGGGGTTCTTGGGATCAGGGACATCCATGTAGTCACTCCTTATGGGACTGAGTGGTTTGTGGGACCGCCATGGGGTCACGCGCTATGGGGTTGGGGGCGCCTGGGCATCAGGAAGCCCCATGGAGTCACTCTTTACGGGGCTGAATGCCTCGCAGAACCTCCGTGGGGACGCCCCCTACAGAGGTGGGGGCTCATGAAGACAGGGACCCCCATGGACCCACACTTTATGGGCCCAGGTGGCTCACAGGAACCCCATACTGTTGCACTCTAAGGATCAGGAGGCTGGTGGGACCCCTGTGGAGTTGTACTCTATGGAGTTGGGGGGTCTGGTGGGATCCCCATGAGGTAATGTAGTATGGGGCTGGGGGCTCTTGGGATCCCTATGGAGTTGTACTTTATGGGGTCAGGGGGTTGGTGGGACCCCCATGGGGCAGTACTCTATGGGGTTGGGGGCTCATGGGGTCAGGGACTCCCATGGAGACCCACTTTCAGGGGCTAGGTGGCTCACAAGACACTTCTACAGGGTTGGGGGGCTGTTGAGATCCCAATAGGGTCACACACTATGGGGTTGGTGGCCGTGGGGTCACTCTATGGAGTCAAAATGCTGTGCAGTCACTCCCTATGGGGTCAGAGGACTGTAGGTTCACTCTACAGCGCCAAGATGCAGTGGGGTCATTCTCTTTAGGATGAGAGGGGTGTGGGGTTACTCTATGGGACCGGGAGGCTGTGGGGTTGCGCTTTGGGGTCACCTGGCTGCGCAGGGCATCCAGGTCGATCTCCAGACTCTGCACTGAGCGGCGCAGCTCCAGCAATCGGCTCCGTGCTGTATCCACCTCCTTTGTGCTCTGTGTCACTTCCAGCGTGGTCTCCGTGATCTGGGGTGGTGTGGGGAGGAGATTGGGGGGCACAAATAAGTCCAGGGAAGTCAGCAAAATGGAGCCCGTAAGGAGGATCCTCAGTGTGGGGTGAAGATTGCATTGGAAGATGCTCCCACTGCGGGGTCCCCATTGGTTGTGGGGTGTCCCTAATATTGGGTAAGGACAGCGCTGGGAAATGTCCCCACTATGGGCCTGGTGTCCCCTGTGAATGGGGTGTCCCCCAAGAGAAGTGCCCTGTGTGCGACTGATAGAGGGCCACCAGGACACCCCACAGACCACCCCAAGGGTTGTAGGAACAGCACAAAGTCTCCTTGAAAGACCCCAAAGACCTCTGGAACGCCCCAAGAACTATAGGAACACCCCAAAGACCACCAGAATACCCCAAGGGCCATTGGAACACTCCAAGGACTATACGAACACCCCAAAGACCACCTTGAAAGACCCCAAAGGCCCTTGGAATGCCACAAGGACTATAGGAATGCCCCAATGACTGTAAGAACAGCCCAAAGACCACCAGAACATCCAAAGAACTATAGGAACACCCTGAGGACTATAGGAACACCCCGAAGACTCCTTGAAAGACCCCAAAGACCACCGGAACATCCCAAGAACTATAGTTACACCCCGAGGACTATTGAAACACCCCAAAGACCCCCTTGAAAGACTCCAAAGACCCCCTAGGACTGTAGGACCACCTGCTGCCCCCACTGCTTCTCCAGCTCCTCCAGGTTCTTCTTGGCCAACACGTCGTATTGCGCCCTCAGCTCTGCCAGTGCCTGGCCCAGGTCCTGCGCCTGCGGTGCGTCCACCTCCACCGTCAGCCCCGCGGAGGCCGCCTGGGCCTGCAGTGCGTTCACCTCCTGCCAGGGGACAGCAGGTCCTGGTTTGTCCCCGTGTGCCCTTGATGTGTTCCACGCATGTCCCCAGCGTGTCCCTGATGTGTCCCCGGTGTGTCTGTGATGTGTCCCTTTCATGTTCTCAGTGTGCCCCACTGTGTCCCTAAGGTGTCTCCAGTGTGTCCCTAATATGTTCCCATGGTATCCCCAATGTTTCCCTGATGTGCCCCCAGTGTGTTCCCAACATGTCCCCAGTAGGTCCCCAATGCACGTGTCCCCATTGTGTCCCTGATATGTCCCCAGCATGTTTTCAATGCGTACCCAATGCGTTCTCAGCATATCCCCAGTGTGTCCCCAGTGTGTCCTCAATGTATACACAATATGATCCCAACACTTTCTGGATGTGTACTCAATGTGTTCCTGATGTGTCCCCAACACGTCCCCAGTATGTTCCCAGTGTGTCTCAAATATGTCCCTAATGTGTACCCAGTGTGTCCCTAATGTATCCCCAACATGTTGTACCCAATCCATTCTCAACATGTTCCCACAATGTCCCCAGTGTGTCTCTAATGTGTCCCTAATGTTCTCAGTGTGCATCTGACATGTTCCCAATGCATTCCCAGTGTGTCCCCAGTGTGTCCTCAATGCATTCCCAGTGCGTCCCCAATGTGTCCCCAGAGTGTAACTGGCATGTCCCCAGGGTGTCACCAATGTGTCCCCAATGTGTGTATGATATGTCCCCAACATGTTCTTAATGTGCCCCCAACGTGTTCTCAATGTGTCCCCAGTGTCCCTAATGTGTACCCAACGTGTCCCCAACGTGTCCTCGATGTGTCCTTGATGTGTCCCTGATGCTGCCCCACCCCACCTCCTCGTGGTTCTTCTTCATGAAGATGAGCTCCTCACGCAGTGCCTCGATCTCCCCCTCCAGCTGCAGCCGTGCCATGTTGGTGTCATCCAGCACCTTGCGCAGCCCCGCAATGTCGCTCTCCACTGATGTGCGGATGGCCAGCTCTGCCTCGTACCTGCAGGGCACCGGCTCCGGTCTGTTATCCCACCCCACCCCACCCCACCCCATCCCATCCCATCCCACCCTATCCCATCCCATCCCATCCCATCCCACCCCACCCCATCCCATCCCATCCCACCCTATCCCACCCCATCCCATCCCATCCCACCCCATCCCATCCCACCCCACCCCACCCCACCCCACCCCATCCCATCCCACCCCATCCCATCCCACCCCATCCCACCCCATCCCATCCCATCCCATCCCATCCCACCCCATCCCATCCCCACCCCCATCCCACCCCACCCCATCCCATCCCATCCCCACCCCACCCCACCCCACCCCACCCCACCCCATCCCATCCCCACCCCACCCCACCTCACCCCATCCCATCTCATCCCATCCCATCCCATCCCATCCCATCCCATCCCATCCCATCCCATCCCATCCCATCCCATCCCATCCCATCCCATCCCATCCCACTTCTGTTCTGTGAATCACACCCCATTCCCATTCTCGTTCCTGTCCCCACCCCATCCCTATCCTCATCCCACCCTATTCCTAACACTATTCCCATCTATGCCCCTGGCCATTTTCCCATTCCCATCTATGTTCCTGTCACTGTCCCATCCCTGTCTCCATCACTATCCTCATCCCTGTCCTTGTATCCCACTCATATTCTCATCTGTTTCTCTCCTGTCCCCATCCCTACCACATTCCCATCTCCATTCTCATGCCTGTTCCCATTCCAATCCCTGTTTCTGCCCCCATCCCATCCCCATTTCCAGTCTCATTCCCATCCCTGTCCCCTACATCATTCCTACCCCTGCTCCATCTCATCACTTTCCCCATCCCTGTCCCATCTCTGTCTTCTCCCATCCCTGTCCCTGTACCCATCCCTATCCCCATCCATGTCTTCATCTCTGTTTTTGCTCTTGTTCCCATCCATGTCCTATCTCAATTCCCAGCCCTATTACCATCTCCATTCCCATTCCCATTCCTCTCTCTGCTCTCATCTCATTCATTCCCATCCCATCCTATCCCCATTCCATCCATCCCCATCCAACCCCATCCCATCCCACTCCATCCCACCCCATCCCATCCCTATTCCATGAATCATACCCCATCCCCATCCCATTCCTTTCCCTTTCCCTTTCCCTTTCCCTTTCCCTTTCCCTTTCCCTTTCCCTTTCCCTTTCCCTTTCCCTTTCCCTTTCCCTTTCCCTTTCCCTTTCCCTTTCCCTTTCCCTTTCCCTTTCCCTTTCCCTTTCCCTTTCCCTTTCCCTTCCCCATCCCACCCCATCCCACCCCACCCCATCCCATCCCATCCCATCCCATCCCATCCCATCCCATCCCATCCCATCCCATCCCATCCCATCCCATCCCATCCCATCCCCATTCCACAAATCACACCCCATCCCTTTTCTTTTCCATTCCCATCCCCATCTTCCCATCCCATTCCACCCATATCCCATCCCATCCCATCTCATCTCATCTCATCCCATCCCATCCCTATCCCATTCTCATCCTGTCCCAACATCAATCCCATCCCCATCCCATCTCATCCCATCCTCCCATTCCCAACCACGTCTTTCTCTACATTCCCATCCCATCTCAGTTCCCATTTATGTCCTCATCCCATTCCTGGCCCTGTCCCCATCTTATCCCCATCCATGCCCCCACCCCAGCTTCCCACCCCTGCTGTCCCTGTCTCACTCACTTCACCCTGAAGTCATCGGCTGCCAGCCGCGCGTTGTCGATCTGCAGCACGGTGCGGGCGTTCTCCACTGCGCAGTCATAGATCTGTGGGGCCGGTTTGGGGTCACGGGGCGTGAGGACCCCCAGTGTGCCCCAGGGAGGGGGGGGACAGGGAGGGGGGCTGGCAGTGAACTCTTGTCCATGTCCTTGTCCCCATTCTCGTCCCCATTTCTGTCCCCATGTGACTTCAGGAAGGGGTGACCCCACTGTTCTATAGGGTGGCGCTGGCTGTGGGACTCATCTGCTTAACAAAGGAGCATTAATTGACCCCCCTCCCTTGGCCCCCATGGGCTTGGTCACAGCCCCACGTGGTGTCCCCACTGGGTGCCCCACACCGTCCCCACCCCACAGGATCATTTCTCCCTGGCTCAGCTCCGGGTGCGAAGTCCACCCCCTCCCAACACCATGCAGGTTAATGCTTAACCTGTGACAACTGCTGGCAGAGCCCTGGGGATGCGATGCCAGGAAGTGGGGGCATGCTGATGGGGCCCAGAGGACGTGGTGCCAGTGCCCCAACCTACCCCCTTCCCACCCCTACCCCAACCAAACTCAACCCAACACCATCTCCATCTGCAATCCCACTGCATCCTAAGCCCACCCCATTCCCATCCCCATCCCAACCCCTATCCAACACCAACCCCACCCCATCCCAACCCCAACCCCATCTCCTTCCCATCCCCATCCCAACTCACCCCATTTCCATTCTAACCCAATCCCATTTCCATTCCCATCATAACTATCCTAATCGAACTCCATTTCCATTTCCATTCCATTCTCATCCCATCTCTATCTCCATCCTAACCCAACCCCATTCCCATTCCCTTCCCTATTTCTACCTGAACCCCACCCTATCCTAACACAGTCTCAATCCCAATCCTATTCCCATTCCCATTCCCATTCCCATACCACCCAATCCCCCTCCCAACCCCGATCCCATTCCCATTCCTATCCCACCCCATCTCCAACCTGACACAATCCCAGTTGCATTCCTACTCCCATTCCCACCCTGTCCCACCCCACCCCATCCCAACCCCAACACGAACTCCATTCCCATTCCTATTCCCATTTCTACACTAATCCCTCCCCATCCTAATCCAAGCCCATTCCCATTCCTATCCTCATCCTAATCCAGTCCCATACTCATTTCCATTCCAACCCCAAACCCAACCCCATTCCCATTCCTATCCCACCCCATTCCCATCCTAACACAATCCAATCCCATTCCTATTCCTACTCCCATCCCCATCCCAACCCCAACACGAACTCCATTCCCATTCCTATTCCCATTTCTACCCTAATCCCTCCCCATCCTAATCCAAGCCCATTCCCATTCCTATCCTCACCCTAATCCAGCCCCATTCTCATTCCCATCCTAATCCCAATCCCAACTCCATTCCCATTCCTATTCCCATTTCTACCCAAATCCCTCCCCATCCTAATCCAAGCCCATTCCCATTCCTATCCTCACCCTAATCCAGCCCCATTCCCATCCCCATCCCCATCCCAATCCCAACTCCATTCCCATTCCTATTCCCATTTCTACCCCGACCCCTCCCCATTCTAATCCAAGCCCACTCCCATTCCTATCCCCATCCTAATCCAGCCCCATTCCCATTCCTACCCCAATCCCATCCCCTGCCACACCCCTCACCTTGTCACGCAGCTGCTGGATGGTGTCCCAGTAGTTCCCCCAGTCGCGGGTGCTGGGTCCCCTCTTGGCCAGGCTCTCCCGGATCTGTGCCTCCAGGCGCCGGTTGTTGTTCTCCAAGCTGCGCACCTTCTCCAGATACGTGGCCAGGCGCTCGTTCAGATCCTGCATCGTCTCCTTCTCGTTCTGCGCCACCCCAGACCCGGACAGCAGCAAACCGCCCCCATAACCTGCCCCATAGCCAGCCCCGTAGCTTGCCCCATAGCCGCCTCCATAGCCACCCCCATAGGTGCTGGCGGTGCGAGTGATGGAGATGCGTGACCCCGACCCTCCGGCCCCGGCGTAGACGCTGGCAGCGCTGCTATGGGGCGGAAGGCGACGGATGCTCCCGGTGCGGGATGAGGTGGAGAAAGTGGTGCTGCGGGACAAGCTCATGGTGACGGATGAACGGACAGATGGACGGAAGGACAGATGAGTGGACGGTTGGATGATTGGCGGCGGGGATTTATAGGAAGCGCCAAGCAGGGGGCGGCCCCAAAGAGCCGCTGGCGCTTCGCCGATCCCTGGAAGGTGCGGCCGGATCCCGTGCCTTTGGGAATTGCAACGGGGGGGGGGAACGTAGGGGGGGCACAGGGAGAGCTCGGCCCCAGGGCCTCACTGCCGCAGGGGACGCAGCTCCACAGGAACAAGGCTCAGCACTCTGCGTTGCGGGGAACCAGGACTCGGCCCCACATATTTAGGGGGACCCCAGCGGTGTCCTTGGGGACGCTCTGGGGGCACTTTTATGGACATCTCAGGAACACTTTGGGGACACTTTGGGGTCTCTTTGGAGATACTTAGGGGACACCGAGGACTCCATGCAGACACTTTGGGGATACTTTGGGGACACTCCAAGAAAACGCTAGGGACACCTTGGGGTCTCCTTGGGGACACTTTGGAGGCACTTTGTGGACACTCCAAGGAACACCCTGGGGACACTTAGGGGACACTTTGGGGGCACTCTGGGGTGTCCTTGGGACCCCACCCTCTACCCCCATGATCCCGCTGGATCCCCTCCCCCCCCTCCTCCCCTCCCCTCCCCTCCCCTCCTTCCCTTATCTCCTGGCTCAGAGATGCATCAGCACCGCATTCCGCCCTTATCGTCCCATCGCTGAACGCACAAGGACGTGGGGGGAGGGGGTGGGGGAGCTGTGGACTTTTGCACGACTGCATGCCTTTGCACAAGCGTTCACTTCTGCGTGTGTGCAGCACACAGACCCATCTCCATGCAGGCTTATGGTGCTCACCAGCTTCTCTCTGCTGCAAAATCGGGCATTTCAGCACTGGAATGTGTTTTCAGCCTTGCACGAGGGCACGCTTTGCACGAGCACACACTTCTCCATGAGCACATGCTGCTTCAAAAGCACTCCCTGCTATAAAAATGGCTGTGTGCTCCTTGCACTTTTTGCATGAGTGCACACTTTGCATGAGCATGCACCTTTGCAAAAGCACTTTCCCTTACACAAGCAGGACCTCTGCGTGTGAACTGCTGTGTTGCACGAGCACGCACCTTTGCACAAGCACGTCTTAAGAGCACCGTCTTTTGCACAAGCACAGGCCTTTGCATGAGCCCCAAACTGCACAAGCACATGACTTTGCAGGAGTGCGCTCCCTTGCACAAGCACAGACCTTTGCATGAGCTGAAGCCCCAAAGCTGTCACCTCGTAACCCCGTAGTGCCACATCATGACCCCATGGAGTCACTTTGAGCCCATGATGTCACCTGAAGACCCCGTGGTGTCAGCTTGAGCCCCCAGAGTAACACCTGATGATCCCCTGGTGCCACCTGAAGCCCTCAAGGTGTCACCTCAGAACTTCATAGTGCCACCACAAGTCCCCATGGTGTCACCCTGACCCCCCAAAGAGCCACGTGAAATCCTCCAGGGTGTCACCTCATGACCCCAAAGTGCCACCTTAAGACCCCGTAGTGTCACCTGGATCCCCGATGGTGTTACCTTGATCCCCCAGAGTGCCACCTGGAGACCCCAAAATTCCACCTGCAGTCCCCAGGCTGTCACCTCAGTGCCACAGTGCCACCTGATGACCCCATGATACCACCTGAAGACCCCAAGATATCACCTCACGAGCCCATAGTGCCACAAGTTCCCATGGTGTCACCCTGAGCCCCCTGAGTACCACCTGAAGCCCCCAGGGTCTCACCTCGAGCCCCCAAAAGCCACCTGAAACCCCCAGAGTGTCACCTCATGACCCCAAAGTGCCACCTGAAGCCCACAAGGTGTCACCTTGAGCCCCCAAAGTGCCACCTGGAGACCCCATAGACCCAGCCCGAGACCCCCCTCCCCCCGGGCACACCCCAACCTCCATCTGTGTTTGGGTGTTTCGGTGGAGGAGGGGTGGCAGGTGATGGTGACGATGACGTGGTGACGTGGGGCCACCAGCCCATCAGCGCTGTCCCCGTCACCAAAGCCTGGCCCAGCCCAGTGCAAACAAAGGCAGGCGCAGAGCTTTGGCCCCCACCCAAAATTCCGCCCCAACCCCCACCCTGGGAGGACAACGAAGGGTCACCAACCTCAGGGGGGGGTGGGGGGTGAGAATATTGAGGTGGGGACCTCAGGGTGGCACACAGGGCCTGGGGGGGAGCTGGTTGTTGTCGGTGTTGTGGAGGGGGGGGGGGGGGGGAATTTATGGGCTTTGGTGTGGGGACCCCCCTCCCCGTTCTATAGGGCTGCGCTATGGGGACGTGCCCATCTTTCCTTGTCTCAGTTTCCCCATTGTAAGAGGGTCTCATAGAGTTGCGCCCTCCCATCCCTCGTGCCCCAGTTTCCCCATTTGAAAGGGGGGGGTCATAGCGTTGCTCCTTCCCCCCTCCTCCCCTTGTGCCTTTTACCCCACTTGTAGGGGGCCTCTTTGGGAAATCCCCACCCCCTCCAGGGGCTGCAGGAATGGCAGGAAGGTCTCACACAGCCCACAGACCCCTGCCCCCATCCACCCCCCCTCCCCCAAGCCCATCCCGCCGGCGCTGAGAACTGGGAATTCCTTTGAGATAAGGGTGGCTCCGTGTGGGGTGGGGGAGGACATTCCATAGAGCCGGGGAGAGAGTGGGGGAGGGGGGCATCTCCTGGGGGTTGGGGTGGGGGGGGATATTTCTCCTGGCCAGGCCAGTGGGGGCTGGGACAGGGATGGGTTGTTGGCCATGATGGGACAGCGGTTGGTGGCCATAGTGGGACGAGGACAGGAGGCCACAGTGGGACTGGAACAGGTTGGTGGCCGTGGTGAGACAAGGACAGGTGGCCACTGTGGGACATGGAAAGGAGGCCATGATGAGACAGGGACAGGTTGGTGACCGTGGTGGGACAGGGAGAAATGGTGGGACAGGGATGGATTGGTGGCCATAGGGGGACAAGAATGGGTGGCCATCATGGGACAGGAACAAGGGGCCGTAGTAGGACAGAGAGAGGTGGTGGCTGTAGAGGGACAATGGTTAGTAGCCATAGTGGGACAGGGACAGGTTGGTAGTGATGGGACAGGGATGGGTTGGTGGCCATGGTGGGACAGTGGTTGGATGCCATCGTGGGACAGGGACAGATGGCCATCATGGGATGGGATTGAATTGTTGGCCATGGTAAGACATGGATGGGATGGTGGGACAACAACTGTTCCCCATAGTGTGAGCTCCCTGGGCTTCTCCACATGGATGAAGGGATGTGCTGGGGACACAGCAGTGCAGACATGGACTGAGGACACAAGGGGGGTCTGGGATTTGGGGACATGCTTCAGGGACTGTTTTTGGGAATGGGATTTGGGGACAGACTTTGGGAACTCCATTAGGGGCTGGGATTTGGGGACACTCCTGGAGGTGGATATCATGGTGGGTGGCAGCTGCATTTGGGGCCGAGCACTGAATTCACATCAAGTGAGCAAAGTGTAGATCCGATGTGCCACAGCAACCCCAATGGATCCCAGCAGATCCCAGTAGATCCCTGTAAGCCACGGTGGATCCCAGGAAGCCACAGTGGATCGCAGCCGTTCCGAAGGGGTTAACGGAGCAGCACAGCGCTCCTCCCCTGGGCGGCAGGATGCAGCCCCGCTCACCCGCCCCACAGCCGGCCCGTCCTGTCCTACAACCCCTACCACAATCCTACAACCCGTCCTGCAACCCGCACCGCAATCCTGCAACCTGTCCTGCAACCCACCCCACAGCCGTCCTCCTGCCCGCCCCACAATCCATCCTGCGGCCCTTCCTGCAGCCCCATGGCGCAGCCCGCCCTATAGCCCGCCCCATAGCCCGGCCCACCGCCCGCCCCACACCTCCCTCCTCCTACGCAGCGCGGCGCTCCGACACTATTCCCAAAACTCTCCTGTAACCTTTCCCAAAACCCTTCTCCAAATTGTCTTCCAGCCTTCCCAAAACCTTCTCCCAACCCTATAACCTTCTTCCAACACTACAACCGCCTCCCAGCCTTCTTCCAATCCTATAAATCTTCCAACCTTCTACCAACACTACAAACTCTTTCCAAACTTCTTCCACCCCTACAACCATTTTCCATCCTTCCTCCAACCCTACAACCTTCTTCAAATCCTACAACCTTCTCTCAACCTTCTCCAACCCTACAACCATCTTCCAAACTTCTCCTAACCCTACAGCCTCCTTCCAACCTTCTACCAACCATCTTCCAACCCTACAACAACCTTCCAACCTTTCTCCAATCCTACAACCTTCCTCCAATCCTACAACTTTCTTCCAACCGTCTTCTAACTTTCCTCCAACCCTACAAACATCTTCTAACCTTCCTCCAACCATCTTCTAACCTTCTTCCAATCCTGCAACCATCTGCCAGCCCTACGACCTTCTTCCAGCCTTCCTCCAACCCTAAAACCTCAGCCCCTCTGACCCACCATGTCCGTCACCATCACCAGGAAATCTGTGCGGAGCAGCTCGGCCGTCCCGGTCCGATCCTTCAGCTCCCGCTCCTTCACCGCCGGCCCTGCTGTGAGGATGAGCGCAGCCTCAGCCTTTGGCACCATCAGTGGGAGCCGTTTTGGGGTGGGGGGGATGCAGCGGGGTCCTGTGACCGTGTCTGGGGGTGGCATCGCAGCCGTCACCGTCAACCAGAGCCTCCTGACCCCCCTCAACCTGGAGATTGACCCCGACATCCAGCAGGTGCGCAAGGAGGAGAAGGAGCAGATCAAGACCCTCAACAACCGCTTTGCTTCCTTCATCGACAAGGTGAGGCCACCCCATAGCTGCCCCCATTGTGTCTGGGTGGCACCCGGGGTGGGGGGGAGGGGGGAAGAAGGGGGTCACAACTGTTTCCTGAGCTCTGGTGACCCTGAAGTCCCCTGGGGGGTGGGGTGGGAGGTGGCTGTGAGACTGCGAGGGCACTCTGAGCCTGCAGGGACACTGAGAGACCCCCCCCCCAGGAACATCCTGAGCCCCCTTAGGGACACTGAGAAACTTCTGGGGACACTGAGACTCCTTTAGGGACCTCCTGAGCCCCCCTTAGGGACATTGAAACCCCCCTAGGGGACTGAGACACTTTCAGGGATCTTGAGATCCCCTTAAGGACATTGAGAACCCCTTGGGGACACTGAGTCCCCCTTAAGGACATTGAGACTTTTGGAGGACACTGAGACTCCCTCAGGGACACCGAGACGCCCTTAGGGACCTCCTGAGACCCTTGGGACCTTGAGACACTTTGGGGAACATCCTGAGCCACCATAGGAGCAGTGAAAGCCCCTTGGGACATTGCGACCCCCTTAGGGAAATCCAGAGCCCCTTAGGGGATATTGAGACATCTGGGGACATTGAGATCCCCTTAAGGACCTTCAGAACCCCTTAGGGAACTCCTGAACCCCCTGGGGATGCTGAGACACTTTTGTGAACATCCCAAGTCCCCTTAGGGCCGTTGAGGGAACATTAAGGCCCCCCTTAGGGACACCCTTGGCCCCTTAAGGACACCGAAACCTCCTTGGGAACATCGTGACCCCCATGGTGACTTCTGAGCCCCCTGGGGACTTGCTGAGTCCTCTGGGGACACTGAAACACCTTTGGGGGCATTGCAGTCCTTTGGGGACATTGAGACCTCCTTAGGGACTTACTGACCCTCTTTTGGTCCTCTGGGACTCCCTGAGCCCCTTGGGGACCTCCAAGCTCCTTCAGATGCATCCTGAGCCCCTTGGGGACATTGGGACCCCCCCTGGGGAGCCCTCTGTCCCCTTTGGGATCTTCTAAACCCCTTGGGAACATCGTGGAGACATTTGGAAATCTTTGGGGACACTGAGATCTCCTTGGGGATATCATGTTCCCCTCTGGAATCTGCCAACCCCTTTGCACACATTTTAGACCCATTTTGGACCCCCCTGGGGACACTGTGACCCCCTAAAGGACCCGCTGTCCCCCTTGGGAACACTCTGGGGGTACATCCATGTTCCATCCCAGTAGCAGACATGGTGACAAAGCTGAGGGGGGGTGGGAGAAGTGGTGTGAGGTGGGACCTGGGGTGGTGGTGGCATTCTCCTTTCCCATTGTCCCCTTTTTGTCCCCCTCCGCTGCAATCAGTCCCCCTACCAGCGTCTCATCGCTGTGTCCCCATAACCCCCACCCCCAGATCCCATATTTCATATCCCAACTCCACGTCCCGCTCACCCACTTGCCCACCTCCAACATCCCCATGTGTCCCCACATCCGGCATCCTCATATCCCCATGTCCCCACATCCTCATATCCAACATTTCTACATCCCCTTGTCCCTATTTATTCACAGCCCCACTTCTCAATGTCCTCAAATACCCACATTCCCCTTTCTCCATGTACTCACATCTCCACATCCCCATGTTCCCATATAACCACAACCCCACATCCCCGTATCCCACATCCCCGTGTCCCCATTTCCAATGCCTCCATGGCCACACACCCCACATCCCCCTGTCCCCATATACCCACAACCTCACATCCCCATATCCCAGTGTTCCCACATCCGCACATCCCCGTGTCCCCGTATCCAACACCTGTGACCCCACACCCCCACATCCCCATATCCAATGCCTCTGCAACCCCACATCCCCCTGTCCCTATATACTCACATCCCCGTGTCCTCACATCCCTGAATACCCACATCCCTGTGTCCCTACATCCCCCCATCCCCATACCCAATGCCTCTGTGACCCCACACCCCTCCTCCCCCCATCCCCATCCTCGTACCCCACACAGCACAGTGACCTCCCTGCGTCCTCCCTCTCTCCAAGGTCCGGTTCCTGGAGCAGCAGAACAAGATGTTGGAGACCAAATGGAGTCTCCTGCAGTCTCAGCAGCCACAGCGCAGTGACCTGCGGGGGCTGTTTGAGGGCTACGTGGGGTCCCTGAGGAGGCAGCTGGAGGGGCTGGGCCAGGAGCGGCTGCGGTTGGAGGCTGAGCTGGGCAGCATGCAGGGGCTGGTGGAGGACTTCAAGAACAAGTGAGGAGGCGGCAGCTGGGTGGCCCTCAGGTGGTGGGATGGAATGGGGTTGTCCCCTCTGAGCAGCACTGTGGTGGCTTTGGTTTATGGGGTGATCGACCCAATGCACTGGAAAGGGGCTCCCCATGTCCCCCTTGTCTCCATCTCTGTGTGTCCCTGGGTCCCCTTTTCCCCATTTCTTCCATGCCCCACATCCCCACATCCAAGTTCCCATTTCCCATGCCCCATATCCCCATGTCCTTGTACCCCTGGATCCCAATGTCCCCACGCCCCGTGTCCCCCTGAGTCCTTGCATCTTTGTATCCCCATGGCCGCCATGTCCCCGTGTCTCCTGTCCTCACACCCCCCCATAACTCCCTTGTCCCTCATTTCCCATGTCCCTGTATCTCTGGGTCTCCACATGCCTACATTCCCATTTCTCCACGTCCTCCATCCCTTCCACATCCCATGTCCCCATGTCCTTGCCCCTCTGTGTCCCCATGTCCCCACACCAAGCCCTCTACCCTGCAGGTACGAGGAGGAGATCAACCACCGCACTGAGAAGGAAAATGAGTTTGTGCTGCTGAAAAAGGTGAGTGGGCTACGGGTAATGTGGCTGGGGGACAACGAAACTGGGAGTGATGGGGCTGAGAGTGATGGGACTAGGAATAGTGGGGCTGGGTGTAGTGAGGCTGGGGGTGATGGTGATGGGAGGCAGTGGGGCTGGAGGACTTGGAGACAGGAGCAATGGGGCTGGAGGGCAGTGGGGTCAGGGGCAATGGGGCTGGGGGCAATGTGTTTAGGGCCTGATGGGATTGGGGGCAGTGGGGCTGGGGGGCAGTGGGGCTGGGGGCAATGAGGCTGAGGGGCAGTGGGGCTGGAAGTCTTGGGGACAGAGGCAATGGAGCTGAGGGGAATAGGGTTGGGGGCTGATGGGATTGAGGGCAATGGGACTGGGGGACAATGGGGTTGGGAGTAATGGGCTGGGAAGCAGTGGAGCTGGGGGCAATGGGGTTGGAGGCTGATGGAACTGGGGGAAGTGGGGCTTGGGGGGCAATGAGGCTGAAGGATCGTGGGGCTGGAGGTGTTGAGGCCTGGGGTAATGGGGTTGGAGGGCAATGGAGCTGGGGGTAATGAGATCGGAGACTGATGGGACTGGGGTTAATGGGGCTGTGGGGCAATAGGGCCGGGAGGCAGTGGGTCTGGGGACAATGGGTCTGGGGTTAATGGGGCTGGGGGGCAATGGGAGCTGACCCGATGCTACTGGCACCCCAGGATGTGGACGAAGCATACATGAGCAAAGTGGAGCTGGAGTCACGGCTGGAGAGTCTGACGGATGAGATCAACTTCCTGCGGCAGCTCTATGATGAGGTGGGGGCTTCACAGCAGCCCCACCATGGGACCACCGCAACAGGGAGGGGGCTGTTCCCCCAGCTCAGCCCCACCTCCTTCCCCATTGCAGGAGCTGCGGGAGATGCAGTCGCAGATCTCCGACACCTCCGTGGTGCTGTCCATGGACAACAGCCGCAGCCTGGACCTGGACAGCATCATTGCAGAGGTGAAGGCGCAGTACGAGGACATCGCCAACCGCAGCCGGCTGGAGGCTGAGACCTGGTACCAGAGCAAGGTGAGGGGTGGGGAGTGGGGGTCGGGGTTTGGGGGGTTGCTCCGGACTCATCCCAGCTCTGTTCTTTGGGATTCTCCATCTGCTGGGATTCTGTTCTCTGTCCCATGTCCCAAGATGTTCTTCTCCTGAGAGGATGTTCTGTCCTTTGGGCTCCTCTGTGCCCCACGAGGAGCTGTTGAAAGAATGCTCCCTCCATCACTTTGGGAAACTCCATCCCTTTGGGGTCCTCTATCCCTTGGGATCCTTCACCCCTTTGGGGCTCTCCATCCCCAAAGTTCCCTTGGAGTTTTCCACCCCTTGGGAACCTCCATCTCTTGGGAATCTCCATCCCTTTGGGATTCTCCATCCCTCGGGATTCACTATCCCTTTGGGGCTCCCAATCCCTTGGGATCCTTCATCCCTTGGGGGTCTCCATCCTTTGGGATCCTCTATAACTTGGAATGCTCTGTCCCCAAGGATCCTCCATCCCTTGAAAGGATCCATGACCTGCAAGATTGCATCCCCTGGGTCACTCCATCCCCTGGGACTTTCCATCCCCTGGGTCACACCATCCATGCCCCCAACCGTTCCATTCCATTTCCCCTCTGAGATCCTTCATCTCTTGGTGTGCTCCATGACTCAGAATGCTCTCCCCCTCCCAAGGACCCTCACCCATCCCATAACACTCTCCACCCCCAGCACCCACCCTGCCCTGGGGATGCCCTATGCCCCAGACTCCCTGTCCCGCTTCCCATCCCGCTCCCCACCGCCGTCTCGCCAGCCCCACGCTCCCGCCCATCCCAGCCCCAGGGCCAGGCGCTGCTCATGGTGTCTGCGGCGTGGGCGAGTCGCAGACCGGCCCGGCGTGACGCAGCCCTGGCCCCAAGCACTCCTCTGGGCACGGGCTCGCCTCTGCTGCTTTGCCCCAGATTTTGGGAGGAAGAGGAGCTCACGGGGCTGTCCCCATCCCCGCCGCACTGCGGGTTTATGGGGCCAAGATTTTGGGATTCTGTCGTGTCAGGATCCTGTGATTTTGGGATTCTGCAATTTCAGGACTCTGTGATGCCAGCATTCCATGATTTTGTGTCTCAGCCACTTCCATCATTCCATGGATTCATGAGTCCATGATTCCATGAGGTTGTGATTCTCTGATTCCGCAGTGTCATGATTCTGTGATTTCGCAGTGATGCAATATCTGGATCCCGATTTCTCGTGGTCCCACAACTCGGTGGATTCATGGCTTTGGGATCCCGTGACCACTTGATTTTGGGATCCCGAGATTTCATAGTCCCACGAGTTTGTGATTTTGTGATCCCCTGATCCCTGATTTCCTGACCCCGCTCCGCGCTCCTGCAGTACGAGGAGCTGAAGACGACAGCTGGTAAACACGGCGACGACCTGCGCAGCACCCGCAGCGAGATTGGCGAGCTCAACCGGATGATCCAGAGGATCCAGGCTGAGATCGAGGTGCTCAAGAACCAGGTCTGGGTCCTGCCTGGCTACACCTGACCTTCTTCCTCCTCCTCTTCCTTCTCCGCCTCCTCCACTTCTTCCTTCTCCTTTCTTTCCTCCTCCTTTTCTTTCTCCTCTTCCTCCTCCTCTTCTTCCTTCCTCTTCTTCCTCCTCTCCCTCCTCCTCTTCTTCATCCTTCTCTCCCCCCTCCTGCACTTCTTCATCCTCCTCTTCCTCCTTTCCTTCCCCTCCTCCTCTCTCTTCTCCTCTCTCTTCTTCTTTTCCTCCTCTTCCTCCTCTTCTTCCTCCTCCTCTTTCTCTACTTCCTCTTCATCCTCCTCTTCCATCTATTGTTCCTCCTCCTCTTCTCCCTCACCTCTCCATGCCTTCAGCACTCCAACCTCCCACAGCCCCCTTGCACTCTGCAGAGATGATTCTGGTGTGCAATGGGGAGAAGCTGGGGTGCAAACTGGGGGAGGGGGAAGAAATGGATGAAAAAGGAGGAATCCTGGAGTGCAATTTGGAGAAGTTGGGGTGCAGAGGTGAATGTTGGAGTGCAAGGGGGGAAGCTGCAATGCAATGGGGTGAACTAGGGTGCAATGGGAGGGATGGTGGGATGCACTGGGGAAATGTTTGGGTGTAATTAGGAGAAGCTGGGGGTACCGGATTGGGATGCTGAGGTCCAAAGGGGAAGCTGGGGTGCAGTGGTGGAAGATGAGGTGCAATGGGTGGGATGCTGGGGTGCACTGGAGGGAAGCTGCAATGCAATGGGATGAACTGGGATGCAATGGGAGGAATGTTGGAGTGCACTGGGGGACTGTTGGGGTGCAATTTGGAGAAGTCGGGGCGCTAAGGAGGAGGGATGCTGAGGTGCATTGAGGGGAAGCTGCGGTGCAACAAGGGATGCTGGGGTCCAAAGAGGAAGCTGGGGTGCAATGATAAAAGCTGGGTTGCAAATGAGCAGAAGCTGGGGTGCAAACTGGAGAAGCTGGGATGCAAGAGGGGGATGCTGGGATGCACTGGCCAGGGGGTGGGGGGGAAGCTGGAATGTAAAGGGGGTCTGCTGGGATACAATAGAGAGATAATGGGGTGCAAGGAGAGGATGATGGGATGTAGCAAGGAGGATGCTGAGGTCCAGGGACAACCCAAATCCTCACGCAAGGTAACCCCTCCTGCCCCAACGTCCTGCCCTGCAGCGAGCCACTCTGGAGACGGCCATCACAGAGGCAGAGGAGCGTGGGGAGATGGCCCTGAAGGATGCCAGAGCCAAACTATCTGAACTGGAGGCGGCTCTGCAGAAGGCAAAGCAGGACCTGGCCCGGCAGCTGCGCGAATACCAGGAGCTGATGAATGTTAAGCTGGCACTGGACATCGAGATTGCGACCTACAGGAAGCTGCTGGAGGGCGAGGAGAGCAGGTGGGATGCTGCACCAGAAAGGGGCTCCACGGGATGTGCAGTGTGCTATGTCCTATGGGACGCTGTGGGGACGGTGGTGTTCCTGTCTCATGGAGGCCACACCACATCCCTGCTCCCTGGGCAGCACTCGGCTGTTGAAACCAAATTCAGCTCCCGTGTCCCCTGTGCTGCCCCGAGCCCTGGACCCAAACTGAGCCCCCAGAGTGTGTCCCCAAATCCTGGGCCCATCTCACATCCTCAGCCCATGTCCTCACCACTGTGCCCCCAATGCTTTCATCCACCCATCATCCATCCAACCCATCCCTCCCTCTGTCCTTCCCTCCCTCCCTCCCTCTCTCCATTCCTCACTCCCTCATTCCCTCTATCCACCCCTCCCTCCATCCTTCCTTCCCTCCTCCCCTCCTTTCCTCCTTTCTTCCCTCTCTATCCTTCTGCCCCTCCTTCCTTCCCTCCCTCCCTTCATCCATCATTCTTTTCCTTCCTTCCTCCCCTTCTTCCCTCCCTCTACCCTCCATTCCTCACTCCCTCATTCCCACTCTCCACCCCTCCCTCCATTCTTCCCTTCCTCTTCCTCTCTCCCCCCTTCCATCCCTCCCTCCCCCCATCACCCTCCCTTCCACCCTCCCCCCATCCTTTCTTCGCTCCCTTCCTCCCTCTCTCTCTCCCTTCTTCAATCCTTCCATTCATCCCTCCATTCTTCCCTTCCTTCCCCCTCTCCATTCTTTCTTCCCTCTCTCTATCCTTGCATCTCACCATCCTTCCCTCCCTCCCTGCATTCTTTTCTCCCTTTCTCCCTCCCTTTCTCCCTCCCTCCCTCTCTCCCTCCATCCTTCCAATCTTCTCTTCCCTCCATCTATCCATTCCCACTTCCCTCCCTCCCACCATCGTGCCATCCTTCCATCTCTCCCCCACCTCCCTAAATCCCACCCCTTACTCTCCCCCAGGTTGGAGTCAGGAATGCAGAACCTCAGCATCCACACCCGGACCACGGGGTTCTCGGGTAAGAGGGGGGTTGGATTCAACACAGGGGTTGGATTCACTACCCAAAACCCCCAACAAGCGCTCAGCATCACCCACTGCACCCCCTCTCCATGCAGGAGGATTCGGGGGGGGCTTTGGGAGCTCCTTCTCCACAGGTTACACTGTGACCCCCCCGGCACTGGAGAGTGCAGCTGTCCCCAAATCTCGTGCCATCGTCATCAAGAAGATCGAGACCCGTGATGGCAAGCTGGTGTCTGAGTGTGCTGATGTCCTCACCAACTGAGCCCCCCCTACAGCCCTCTGGAGACCCCAAAAGGAATGCAACCCCCCGGGACCCTCCCCTTGTTCTGTCCCTGTGCCCTGAGCCAGCACCCTGCTGTCCGTCCATCTGTCCCCCTGTGTCTGTCCAAGCTACAGGATGGGGTGGGAGCTATTGGGGTGCCCCCCACCCCTGAGATCCCCCTCACACCTCCGGTGCATGGGTGGGGGGTGTTGAGGACCTGCAATAAACCCAATAAACCAAATGAAGCCCCCAACCGTGACTGCACCCACCTGGGGATGGGAGGGAGTTGGGGGGAAAATAGGGGCAGCAATGGGGTTCTGGAGGGGGGGAGGAATCCCCCAGGATGAAGCCAGTTGTGTCCATGAGGGGGGCAGGGGATGTTTTGGGCTGCTAGGACCCACTCAGGGGGGTAGGGAAAAGGGGGAGGTGGGGTCAGGCCTCAGGGGGTCCATTGTCTATCTGGGGGTACCAGGACTCATTTTGGGTTGCCAGAACCAACTTTAGGTGTGCCATTGCCCATACTGGTGTCTGAGGACCCATTCTGGGGTGCTATTGCCCACCCTGGTCATCAGGCTCAGTTTTGAGGGACTAGGACCCATTCTGGGGTGCCATTGTCCATCCTGGGATACCAGAACTCATTTTGGGGTGCCATTTTCCACCCTGGTGCATAAGGCTCTGTTTTGGGATACCAGGACCCATTTTGGGGTGTTGTCATCCATCCTGGGGCATCAGGATCTATTTTGGGGTACCAGGACCCATTCTGGAGTGCCACTGTCCATCCTGGAGCATCAACATTAGTTTTGGGGCACCAGAAATCATTTTGCCAACCACAAGGTGCTGAGACCTATTTTGGGGCCTCTGGGCCATTTTTGGGTTGCCAAAAACAACTTCTGGGGTGCCATTGTCCATCCTGGGATACCAGAACTCATTTTGGGGTGCCATTTCCCAACCTGGTGCATAAGGCTCTGTTTTGGGCTACTAGGACCCATTTTGGGGTGCTATTGTCTATCCTGGGGCATCAGGATCTGTTTTAGAGTACCAGGACGCACTGTGGGGTGCTGTTGTCCATCTGGGGGCATGAGGATCATTTATGGGATGCCAGGTCGCATTCTGGGGTGCCATTATCCATCCGGGGACATCAGGACCTATTTTGGAGTACCATTGCCTACCCAGGTGCATCAGGCTGTGTTTTGGGAATCCAGACACATTTTGGGGTGCCGGGGGTCCCAAATTCCATCCTACGATGTCAGGTTTTGGGGTACCAGGATCCATCCGGGGGGGCAACACCCAGGATTTGCAGGCTTTGGGGGAAGAATAGGATTTTTGGGGCGGGGGGGGGGGATTTCAGGCTGGGTGGGGTTAAGGATTTTGGACTCTCTGGTGTCTCATATGGGGCTGTGCTGGGGATCGTGCCACCTCCCCGCCCCCTTCCCCCTCCTTGGGGGTGGGCTTATTTCTGGGGGAGCTGGGGAAGATTTGGGGCGCCCCTGCCTTTTCGTTGGGTACGGATTCTATTCCCTGTCCGCCGGTGACACCTGCTGTCCGCACCGCACATCTCACCCCAATTACCGCTGCCAATTAGTGCTAATTAACATCCACCCCGCTCGTGCCCCCCAGGCACGACCTCCATTAATGTGGGGGGCGGGGGCCGCACGGGGGCGTGCCGGGCTGGGAGATGGGGGGGGGTTCGGAGCCTCAGTGACCATCGAGGGACCCCCCCAGAGACACCCCAACACCCCATAGCTCCGGGGCCCCCTTCGGACTCCAGGGGGGGGTCTTTAGGAGTGACTCTGACCCTATGGGAGGGGCTCAGTTTTGCGGGGGGGGGGGGGGGAAGAGATGTGGGGAGAGGTGCTTGGGATCCCCCCGGGATGCAGTGGGTCGGTGGGTTTGACTGAGCGCACTGGGATTCCTTGGGAAGCCCCCCTACCCCCCAGTGACGCCCCCATCCGTAACTCCCCCCTTTCACCCCCCCGCCCCCCCCCAGCAAACCTCAGTCCCGCCCCGGATTTGGGGTGAATTTTGGGGCTGCAGACGCTGGGAGGCGGCAGAGGAACGCGGTTCCAACGTGAGGTGGAGCTGCGGACCTCCCCACAGCAGCTCAGCTCCTATCCCCCCCCCCTTTTTCCCGTCACCCCAAAGACTCCACCCCCCTTCTTTAGGGGGGTGGAACCTCTTTTGGGGTTCTTCCCCACGAAAGCAAATGGGGTCGGGAGGTGCTGAGTCCCTATGGGAACCTGGGGACATGTGGGGGGGGGAATCACAAAGGCGGGGAGGGGGGGGTCTCTGCCAAATGAATGCCACAGACCCAGGGCTGGGGGAATGGTGGGGAACGGCTCACGGGGGAACGGGGGCATTTTGGGGGGCGAGGGGGGAAGCAGAGGGAGAATTTGGGGTTTGGGGATGGGGGGGAGATTGGGCGCAATTTTTGAGGCTGGATGGAATTTTAAGGTGAAGGTGGGATTTGGAGGGGGAGAAAAGATCTGGGGGTTGGGAAAGACTTGGGATTTTTGCAGGGGCAGAGTCGGGTTTGGAGTTTGGCGTTTGGGGTTTGGGGTTTCGGATTAGGGATTTAGAGGATGGGATTTGGGGTTCAGAGTATGGGGTTTGGGATCTGGATTATGGGGTTTGGAGTTTGGGATTTAGGATTTGGGATTTGAGGTTTGGGTTTTGGGGTTTGGGATCTGGATTATGGGGTTTGGAGTTTGGGATTTAGGATTTGGGATTAGGGATTTGAGGTTTGGGATTTGGGGTTCGGGAACTGGGGCAATGCACAGGGTGCATCCAGGGTGCCCCACAGATGAGGTTTTGCTGTCACCTGACCCTGGGACACTGAGGGACAGTGGCCATGACTTCCCACCCAGACTCTCCCACCCCACCTCGTGTTCCCCACCCCAAAGCCAACCCAACTCACCATTCTATGGGGGATGAGCACCCAGGTTCTGGGGGGCTCAAACCCATCCCTCACCTCCCCAAAAGCCACAGACCCCAAAGGTGAGCCCATTGGGGGAGGGCGTTGTCACCGTGCCAAACTGGAGATGTTGAAGTTTGGGGACACCAGGGGTTGGGGGACATCAAAGTTTGGGGACACTGATGTTTAGGGAACAGCAATACTTGAGAGACACTGAGGTTTGGGGAGACCAAGAGTTGGGGACACCAAAGCTTGGGGACACTGAAGTCTGGTGACATCAAGGGTTGGGTACACCAATGATTGGGTGCCCAAAACTTGGGGATATGGAGGTATGGGGACACCAGTGGTTGGGGGCACCAAAGCTTGGGGACACCAAGGTTTGGGGAAATGGAAGTTTAGGACATCTAGGGCTTGGGGACACCAAAACCTGGGGACATTGATGCTTGGGAGCATTGAAGTTTGGGAACACCAAAGTCTGAGTACAGTGAGGTTTAGGGATACAGAGATTTGGGGACACCGTGCCTGGGGACACCAAGGTCATCAAGATTTGGGGTCATCAAGATTTGGGGATAACGTAGCTTGGGGACACGGTCTGATTCTGCGTGTGGGCTGTGACCCCATGTCCCCCTCCTGTGTCCATGTCCCAGGGCTGATGTGGTGCCAGGGCATCACACCACAGGAGGTGCTGCTGACTCATGGGCAGATGTGCCCGGCCCTGTGGGTGCCCATGGACATATGGGGTCCTGGAGGGGGCAGAGCCTTTTGGGTTGTCCCAGCACTGGCACAGGGAATTTCCAGCCCTCAACCCAAATTTTTGCCTGAATGGGTTCTTTTACCTCAAAATTGGATCCCCCTTGGGATCCCACTGCTGGAAGACCCAGGATGGCATTTTGGGGACTCCTTTCTGCAACACTGCACCCTAATTGGACAGGGGAACCCCAAAGCTGCCCCCTCCTCCTCCTCCTCTGACCCAGTTTTACCCCATTTGGGAAAATAAGGGCACTACTGGGAAGTTAGGGGCAATAGTGGGGAATTAAGGGTAGTATGGGGGGAATAAAGACAGCATTGTGGAAGTGGGGATGATATTGGGGGAAATGAGGGCAGTATTGGGGAATTATGGGCAAGATTAGGGAAATAAGTGTAGTATTGGGGATTTAGGGGCATTACTGGGGAAATAGGGACAAGACTGGGGAAATAAGGGCAGTATTGGGGAAATAGGGTCGAGATTGGGGAATTAGGAGTAGCATTGGGGGAAATAAGGGCAACATTGGGGTATTTGAGTCAGTACTGGGGACACAGGCAGTATTTGGGAACTGAGGACAATATTGAGGAAATGGACACTATTGGAGAAATAGGGACAAGACTGGGGAAGTAAGAGCAGTGCTAGAGAATTAGGGTCAGTATTGGGGAAACAAGGGCAATATTGAGGAAATAAGGGCAGTATTGGGGTATTAGAGGCAGTATTGGGGAAATAAGGGCACTATTGGGGAATTAGGGGCACTGTTGTGGGAATAAGGGCATTATGGGGGAAATAGGAAGAAGACTGGGGAAATAAGAGCAATGTAGGGGGTATTAAAGGCAGTACTGGGGAAATATGGGCAAGATTGGGGAATTAAGGGCACTACTGGGGAATTAAGGGCGCTGTCGGTGGCGGGGGGCTCAGCTGGGGTGCGCCAGGGGGCACAGGGCCAGCAGCAAGCTGGGGCCTGCTGACAAGGTTTTGCCTGTAATTAGTGGTGGGGCAGGAGCCGCCCAAAGCTCGCTCTCTGCATTTTCACACGCACACCCCTCGCGCCCTTCCCGGCCCTGGGGGGAGATTTCCCCGGGGGGATTTGGCTCCTCTTGGAGTTTCCCCATCCCAATAGGTTCCCCCCCCCCCCCCCCCCCGGTCCCACAGAATCCCCACAATTCCAGTTGCCCCCTCCCTATTTCTGTTCAACGCTCCAACACACTGCATACTGGGGAGGGCATTGCTTTATTTATTTTTTTTAGGGTAGGGGGGGGGGTGTTTTCCCAGAGTGTGGGATGAGGTGATGGGGAGGGACAGATCCATCCTCCCCCTCTCCCCCAGCTCTTCCCCGTCCATTTATGCAGATTTCTCCTCAAAATGTGCTCTTCCCATCCAAAAACCCAGTTCTCCCCAATGTGCAGCGCAATGGGGCAAAGACCCCTACTCCCTCTGCAGCCCCCACTGGAACTGCATTGCATTTCTATGAAGCTCGAGGGCTTCACACTTGTCTTCCCTTGTTCCTTTTTTGCATCCCGACCCTGGGGAGATGCTCTACACCCCAAATCCTGGAGGCAAAGCCACATGGCAGTTCAGCCCCATA